ACGTGACGCAATGAGCTTTGCAGAAGTTTGATAGGTATTTTCAGATGTCCACAATTGATTCAGAGATTCTATATATTTTTTTACATAGAGTAGAAACAAAGTGATACTTTCATATTGTCAACCAATTAAATGTGACACCAGACCAGATTTGTTTTTCTCAAGTTTAATTGTATTTTTTTTTTTTTAACGATTCCTTTTTATATCAAGTGATTAACTTATGTTGTGTTAACCATGTAAATCTTTCATTTTCTGTGTAAAAAGTTTGGGGACCCCTGGTTTAAAAGATTCCACATGAACTTGAAATGCATTAGTATAAATTGAAAAAAGCAAAGGAGACAGAATTGTGCCTTGAGGCGCACCTGTATTTAAGACAGTCACTTATGAGATATCAGAACCAAGCACTACTCTTTCAGGACCATTAGATAAAAAGTCTATGACCCATTTGATTATGCCTCAATTAACACCAAGGTCCATAAGTCGGCTCAATAAAATATGTACCTGCAAAGCATATGCAGTTAGTTATGTGTCTTTCACCTGTGGTTTGTGACGTGGACAGTTTCATTTTATGAAGCGGGTTTCTAGATTTTTGCATAAATCTTTTCCTAAAAGATTGTTGTTAGGGTTGTTCTTTTACTTAACTGTGGTCCTTCATGGTTCATTTACTGTTGTCCTCCATGGTTCTTTTATAGAACTGGTCTTTCATGGTTCTTTTATATAACTGGGGTCCTCCATGGTTCCTTGGTGGAAGCAACCTTATTGGTACCGCCTGTGAAACTAAAACGCGATTCTCGCATCCTTTTTGTCCCTTATCCACAGCTGTATTTCAAGATGGAGCATTGACATGGGCAGTACTCTGCTCTCATATACATTTATAAGTTAAATTTTAAAAGTCTATGAAAACAACTCAAAAACAGGGTAGAGATAAATATTCTTAGAAAAGTCACATTTTTTGTTAACATGTATTTTTCATTTGGAGCAACTGTAGTGACTGGAGTGGCTTAAAATACTAAGAAGTTTTGTAATTATTTTATCATATGGATTTATAGTACACTATTGCGTACTGACTGAGTATGCGTAAAGAACTGTAGTTTTTTTACAGTTGGTCTGAACGAGAAAACCTTTCAAAGAAAATTTCCACCATCCTGCCTTCCCTGCTCCAGGACAAGCTCTCCCAGCTCAACATGCCCGATTCCACCTGCAGGTGGATCACTGACTTCCTGACGGACAGGAAGCAGCGAGTGCGTCTGGGGAAGAATGTCTCGGATTATAAATACAGGAGCCCCACAGGGCTGTGTTCTTTCTCCCCTGCTCCTCTCCCTGTACACCGACCACTGCACCTCCAGCCACGACTCCGTGAAGCTGATCAAGTTCGCGGACGACACCACCCTCATTGGACTCATCTCCAACAACGATGAGTCCGCCTACAGGAGGGAGGTGGACCGGCTGGTGTCCTGGTGTCTCCTACAGGAGGGAGGTGGACCGGCTGGTGTCCTGGTGTCTCCTACAGGAGGGAGGTGGACCGGCTGGTGTCCTGGTGTCTCCTACAGGAGGAGGGAGGTGGACCGGCTGGTGTCCTGGTGTCTCCTACAGGAGGGAGGTGGACGGCTGTGCTGGTGCCTGTGGTGTCTCCTACAGGAGGGAGGTGGACCGGCTGGTGTCCTGGTGTCTCCTACAGGAGGGAGGTGGACCGGCTGGTGTCCTGGTGTCTCCTACAGGAGGGAGGTGGACCGGCTGGTGTCCTGGTGTCTCCTACAGGAGGTGGACCGGCTGGTGTCCTGGTGTCTCCTACAGGAGGTGGACCGGCTGGTGTCCTGGTGTCTCCTACAGGAGGGAGGTGGACCGGCTGGTGTCCTGGTGTCTCCTACAGGAGGGAGGTGGACCGGCTGGTGTCCTGGTGCAGTGGTAACAACCTGGAGCTGAACGCCCAGAAGACAGTGGAGATGATTGTGGACTTCAGGAAGAGCACTGTCCCCCTGCCCCCACCCTCCGTGATGGACTCCCCCATCACCTCTGTGGAGTCCTATCGTTTCCTGGGCACCACCATCACCCAGGACCTCAAGTGGGAGCCGACCATCAGCTCCCTCATCAAGAAGGCCCAGCAGAGGATGTACTTCCTGCGGCAGCTCAGGAAAGCCAAGCTGCCTGCACAGATGTTGGTGCAGTTCTACACGGCCATCATCGAGTCCATCTTCACCTCCTCCATCACCGTGTGTTTCGCTGGAGCCACAGTCAGGGACAAACAGAGACTACAGCGCATTGTGTGAGGCCGGCCTGTTCGTATCACAGCCGACCCTTCTCACCTGCACATGGACTGTTCCAACCCCTCCCCTCGGGCAAGAGGCTGCGCCCCATCAGGACTAGAACTAGAACTGTCATAAGAACAGTTTCTTCCCCTCTGCTGTTGAACTCTTGAACACTTCATAACCTGTCCACCCGCCCTTTAGAAGTCACCTTACGGCCCTTTATTAAGTCATTTTACCGCTTGTCACCTTATTGCACTGCTTACCGCATATTGGGCCTCATGTATGAAACTTGCATACGGCCAAATCAGGGTGTAAATGAGGTGTACGCAAAAAATGTACACCGTGAGCAAGGAATTTACACCAAGTCAGGAGGTGGTGTGAATGTGTACGCTCATTTCAACCTTCATTGCAACACGCCAAAACACGCATGAAATGCAAGATTTGGGCAACAATAAACATATTCCCACTCTGGCAATATTATAAGTTGCGATTTCTTTGAGCATCATATTTCTAAATTTGAATTTGCGCATCAGAAAAACTCTTACACTCTGGAAACACGCAAACTTTGAATAAATCACAAGTTATGATACGTTTGTGGAATTGGGAAAAGTATGAGACAGACAGTGTCTGGCGACGTCAACTTAACACTCCACTCTTTATTTGTTTGAGCTACACACCATTTTTCTCCTTCTGCTCAGAACAGCCAGACTCAAAACTCCCATAGAACTGTACTGCCACCTAGTGGAATAACTTGGGGGAAACTCTCAACCCGCATAACATTGTGGGTCACCACCAGGGGGGGAGGGTCCCTGCTCAAAAGTGGCCAAAATGACGTGCGCTGACATACTTGCAATACCACCCCGGGCCGATGGGGGTGGACCATAGACTGTATATATTAATGGACAGAGTCACGCCTATCTCCGCCGTTCATAGGAGTTGACCATGAAAAGTGCTTTCATGGAGCAATCCAAGATGGCCGCGAGTGGTCCCGCCCACAAGAAAATTGTGAAAAAACGCATCTGCGCATGCGTCAGCCGGCGCAGCTCCATTCATTTGAACGAGAGACTTCAAAAATTCCCCGCAAGTAAACTAGAGTGGACCAAAACACCCCCCTCAGCATTGACACACATGTGGAACGGAGCTTTGGGCCAAGAGCCAACTTTTGGACCATCCTGTAAAGACGTTTTTGAGAGGTCTGCTAATGCTATATGTTAGCATTGGCTAATTCTTCTTCCGGGTCCACCCCCACAGGCACGGGGTGGTATTGCAGCATGTCAGCGCACGTCATTTTGGCCACTTTTGAGCTGGGACCAATGGTGTAGGTTTGGTTCCAATCTTGGTGGGGACATTCACTACGACCTGAGTCTACACCCAATGACACGGGGTCCAGAGTTTCTCCCCCAGAATTTGTTGTGTAATCACACACTATATTTGCAATAGTGTGTTGCCTTCTATACTAAACTCAGCTGTAGACTGAATGAGAAGCAGTTAAGGATTTTTTCTAATAGTTAAAACAAAATCAATTGGATCAGAGCTTCTGAGTTTTGTGTTGCGTTCATTCTATACTGACTTAAACCTAATCCAAATCTACATAATAGCCCTCACCTGAGGCTCTAACAGTTCAGGAACTGCTCTCGATACTTGAAATAAATCATGCTCTGATCTTTCAATTTCCTATATGTAACCGTACCTAGTTACTTTAGGTTCAGGATTGCAAATGGCAATGAAAATGAGGCAGAGGCAAGGATAAAAGTTTAATATTTATTAAGCACAAAAAGCTAGTTAAAAACGGTATTTAAAAGCCAATTAGTTAGAGATAAAACTGCATTAATTAGGTAGGTCGGTCGCAGCCGCACACGGCAGAAGCACATGGGCCGGAGCACCCACTGCAGCTCCGTGAACACTCACACACACACACACACACACACGGGGAAACTAAGGAAACGTGAAAGTGAGGGCGTGCAACAATACCAAAACATACGAGGAGTGAGGGGGACTGACGTGAGACTCCGCCACCAAACCTCCACCAGGGACGACCACGCCCAGACCAGACCTTAGGGGAAGAAATGCAGATCTTAGGGGCAAATTGGTAACGGAGAACAAAACAAAATTAAATAGCTATGCCTTAAACAAAATTATTCTAAGTCAATGATAAGACTAAACAAAAAGACAAAAACCAAAACAAGACAATACTTAAATGAAAACCCAAACAAAACAGCAGTGGCCAACAGCATCTATGAAACAAAATGGCTATTAGTTTCATGCCACATAACTACACAAACAAAAAGAGCACAACAGTGTATAATACCATGAGCACTATGTACAAAGTTAGTGAGGAGACATGGCCACGCACGACTTTTAACCAGTGGCCGTGGTAGGAGGCTGCTAAACAGCGTCTGCAACAAAGGAAGAAGAAACACTCCCATTAACCTACGGCTGACGTTGTACAACAACAACAGGGAACACCTACCCGGCAGCTACTCGAGATCTGGCAGAACGAGTGAAGCCTGACAGCAGCTTACCTTCCTGTGCACTGGGGTGTCTATAAGTACTGTTGCTGATCGCTACTGAGCCAATACGGAAATGTGAGGGGAGGGGCATGTGTGCAGTAGTGTATGGTAGCCAGGAAGGGACAAACTACCTGCCGCTACATCTACCCCCGGGTTCTTTAAATTGGTGTCCCAACAATTTAAAACCTAATGGAAAGTTGCAGCCCTACTAGCCCTACTTTGCACGCTTGTTGGCAGGTTATTAGGGTTAGGATGCTGGCCGGCTGTCTGACGGGTAGAGCGTCTTGGTGGTGGTCCAAACCGTGAGCTGGGGGCAGGGCTGACCGTACGTGGGGCTGGTAGGAGTCCAACCCGTGACCCGGGGGCGGAGCTGACCGCTAGTGGGGCTGGTGGCCGAACAGCAGGGTCGTCAGCCTGGACTGGATGCGCAAGTACATCTGGCTCTCGACTCACCACCCAGAGGCCATCTGCGGCCCACTCCCCGGTTTCGGACAGCTCGGGGCTCCGGTTACTTGGATCAGGCCTGTCAGCGAGAGGGGGGGAAAGACTGCAGGGTATCGGTTTAAACATATTCCTGTGTACATAGCGTCAATGGTGTAGGTTTGGTTCCAATCTTGGTGGGGACATTCACTACGACCTGAGTCTACACCCAATGACACGGGGTCCAGAGTTTCTCCCCCAGAATTTGTTGTGTAATCACACACTATATTTGCAATAGTGTGTTGCCTTCTATACTAAACTCAGCTGTAGACTGAATGAGAAGCAGTTAAGGATTTTTTCTAATAGTTAAAACAAAATAAATTGGATCAGAGCTTCTGAGTTTTGTGTTGCGTTCATTCTATACTGACTTAAACCTAATCCAAATCTACATAATAGCCCTCACCTGAGGCTCTAACAGTTCAGGAACTGCTCTCGATACTTGAAATAAATCATGCTCTGATCTTTCAATTTCCTATAATAAATAAAAACAGAGGAGAAAATATTGAATTAGAATCTACAGTGAGTAGCTCACTACATTGTTTGACATATACAATCAATCTCTAAAAACAATTCATAGTCCCATGCATACCTACAAAGTTCCAACCTCGCCTGATGCACTGAAGGGCCTGTTGCTTCTACCTCAACATTCCCTATATTGTTCTCTCTTGTTGGTTGAGTTTCCTATGTATGTTAACAGAAGATTAATCATCACAATTCATAATTTGCTATTACTTGTGCTTTCTCTTACTTACTTTCCAACTGTTAAAAAAGCTCCTGATATCTTTTATCTTTTTTTGTGGAGGTGGCATTTTTTCTAAATTATATAAGAAGGTATAGACAATCAAAAACAGACATTCATATACATGAACTGCAGAATCATTTATATAACTTGGCCAATGTCAAAAGTTACATAGTATTTCTCAATACAATGAGTTAACAAGAGTTTTAAAAAACTTAAATGACCTGTTGTGGTGTGTTTTGCGCACAACCAGCATGCATCGTTAACGCAATGGAACATTTGGGTATCCGAGCTTTAATTTCGGGAGCGCTGGTTGCGCTTTGGGAAGAGTCAGGGGAGAGACATGTCAGAGACACAGGGGAGAAACGGGGGAGATACGAGGGAGACCCGCACTTGCAACATGGTTCTGTCTGCATATGGTCCGAGCTCGGTACCATGTTAGAGCTGTGCTTTCACTGAGCGCCGCGGCTGTCATTACAAAGCGGCAGCAGCTGCACCAGGACGTGCTGTCACACATTTCACAGAAATTACATTATCAGCAGATAAAGGTTGTAAATCGTGGATCCGTGGAATATTTTCATCCCTAGTTTATCCTGATTCACACAACACACCCACTTATACATTTTGGATAGTAAGAGTAGTAGTAGTAGTAATCTTTATTTATATACCGCCTTTTCACTGCAGATCTGAGTCTCAAAGCGGTTTACAATTGTTAATTTTTGAGGAGGCGCATGCCAGAACTATTGGACATATTTTTAGTGGTAGGGGAAACCGGAGTACCCGGAGGAAACCTACACAGACACGGGGAGAACATGCAAACTCCACTCAGAAAGGCCCTGGTCCGACCGGGATTCGAACCCAGGACCTTCTTGCTGAGAGGCGAGAGTGCTAACCACTCAGCCACCGTGCCGCCCAGCACGAGCACAATAAGTATTTTTTCAGCCTTTCAACCAACCTGTTTCTTTATTGGAGCCAGTTCTGTTCTGTCTCTGTGCCGTGTGAGCTCCTCGGAACATTAAACAGTGCGCTGACAGATTAGAAATAACGTAAGTACTTTGAATGGTAATAGATCTACAGTACTTTCCTCTGATTACTCACGTGCTACAACGCTCAGGGAACGAAAAAAAACACTTGCTTCACGCTGGCTAACCTTTAAAAATTAAACAGTCGCTCAGTGCTTCATTTTGGCGCTGAAGAAGACAGCCAATCACTGCAGAGAACGGAACGGGTCACGTGCTGCTGCTGCTGCTGTTGCTCTGGAGGCGAGGAGGAGGCGCGACGTGTGCACAAACGGAAGACATGTGTCCCGGACCGTCCGGGTCACGGGACATCATGTCATTTTGGTGGGGACTTTTTAGTCCTCACCAAATATTGGTGGGGACATGTCCCCATGGTCCCCACGCAAACCTACGCCCTTGACTTAGACTGTAGAGGCTAGAGGACGCAGGCTGTAGAGACTAGAGGACACAGGCTGTAGTTGCTAGAGGACACAGGCTGTAGAGACTAGAGGACACAGGCTGTAGAGACTAGAGGACACAGGCTGTAGAGACTAGAGGACACAGGCTGTAGAGACTAGAGGACGCAGACTGTAGAGGCTAGAGGACACAGGCTGTAGAGACTAGAGGACACAGGCTGTAGAGACTAGAGGACACAGGCTGTAGAGACTAGAGGACACAGGCTGTAGAGACTAGAGGACACAGGCTGTAGAGGCTAGAGGACACAGGCTGTAGAGACTAGAGGACACAGGCTGTAGAGACTAGAGGACACAGGCTGTAGAGACTAGAGGACACAGGCTGTAGAGACTAGAGGACGCAGACTGTAGAGGCTAGAGGACACAGGCTGTAGAGACTAGAGGACACAGGCTGTAGAGACTAGAGGACACAGGCTGTAGAGGCTAGAGGACACAGGCTGTAGAGACTAGAGGACACAGGCTGTAGAGACTAGAGGACACAGGCTGTAGAGGCTAGAGGACACAGGCTGTAGAGACTAGAGGACACAGGCTGTAGAGGCTAGAGGACACAGGCTGTAGAGACTAGAGGACACAGACTGTAGAGACTAGAGGACACAGGCTGTAGAGACTAGAGGACACAGGCTGTAGAGACTAGAGGACACAGGCTGTAGAGACTAGAGGACACAGGCTGTAGAGACTAGAGGACACAGGCTGTAGAGACTAGAGGACACAGGCTGTAGAGGCTAGAGGACGCAGGCTGTAGAGGCTAGAGGACGCAGGCTGTAGAGACTAGAGGACGCAGGCTGTAGAGGCTAGAGGACACAGGCTGTAGAGACTAGAGGACACAGGCTGTAGAGACTAGAGGACACAGGCTGTAGAGACTAGAGGACGCAGGCTGTAGAGACTAGAGGACGCAGGCTGTAGAGACTAGAGGACGCAGGCTGTAGAGGCTAGAGGACGCAGGCTCCAGAGACTAGAGGACGCAGGCTGTAGAGACTAGAGGACGCAGGCTGTAGAGACTAGAGGACACAGGCTGTAGAGGCTAGAGGACACAGGCTGTAGAGACTAGAGGACGCAGGCTGTAGAGACTAGAGGACACAGGCTGTAGAGACTAGAGGACGCAGGCTGTAGAGGCTAGAGGACGCAGGCTGTAGAGGCTAGAGGACACAGGCTGTAGAGACTAGAGGACACAGGCTGTAGAGACTAGAGGACACAGGCTGTAGAGACTAGAGGACACAGGCTGTAGAGACTAGAGGACGCAGGCTGTAGAGACTAGAGGACGCAGGCTGTAGAGGCTAGAGGACACAGGCTGTAGAGACTAGAGGACACAGGCTGTAGAGGCTAGAGGACGCAGGCTCCAGAGACTAGAGGACACAGGCTGTAGAGGCTAGAGGACGCAGGCTGTAGAGACTAGAGGACACAGGCTGTAGAGGCTAGAGGACACAGGCTGTAGAGACTAGAAGACACAGGCTGTAGAGGCTAGAGGACACAGGCTGTAGAGACTAGAGGACACAGGCTGTAGAGACTAGAGGACACAGGCTGTAGAGACTAGAGGACGCAGGCTGTAGAGACTAGAGGACACAGGCTGTAGAGACTAGAGGACGCAGGCTGTAGAGACTAGAGGACACAGGCTGTAGAGGACTAGAGGACACAGGCTGTAGAGACTAGAGGACACAGGCTGTAGAGGCTAGAGGACGCAGGCTGTAGAGGCTAGAGGACACAGGCTGTAGAGGCTAGAGGACACAGGCTGTAGAGGCTAGAGGACACAGACTGTAGAGACTAGAGGACACAGGCTGTAGAGGCTAGAGGACACAGGCTGTAGAGACTAGAGGACACAGACTGTAGAGGCTAGAGGACGCAGGCTGTAGAGACTAGAGGACACAGGCTGTAGAGACTAGAGGACACAGACTGTAGAGACTAGAGGACACAGACTGTAGAGGCTAGAGGACACAGGCTGTAGAGACTAGAGGACACAGACTGTAGAGACTAGAGGACACAGGCTGTAGAGGCTAGAGGACACAGGCTGTAGAGACTAGAGGACGCAGGCTGTAGAGACTAGAGGACACAGGCTGTAGAGACTAGAGGACACAGGCTGTAGAGGCTAGAGGACACAGGCTGTAGAGACTAGAGGACGCAGGCTGTAGAGGCTAGAGGACGCAGACTGTAGAGGCTAGAGGACACAGGCTGTAGAGACTAGAGGACACAGGCTGTAGAGACTAGAGGACACAGGCTGTAGAGGCTAGAGGACACAGGCTGTAGAGGCTAGAGGACACAGGCTGTAGAGACTAGAGGACACAGGCTGTAGAGACTAGAGGACACAGGCTGGTCACTGCTCGTTTTGTGAGTGGAGGAGAGCGTCCCGCTAAGACTCTACTCAGCACTTTTCACTGCATACATTTCATACACCGCTGAATCAATGACCTCAAGTTTTCAATTAAATTATAGATTATAATACAACTTGTATGTAGTAATAAACATTTTTATGAACTACCTAGAAAAAAAATCGAGTATAGCTTCTTTAATAATGACCTATTACCAATAATGAGTCACCATTTACAAAGAGACTTTTTATTTAAATATTCACATCTTCTTGCTCTTTCTGATGAGAGTTGTCGACCCCATGGTCAAAGCCTGCAAGGATAAGACCAGCATGTATTTGAAAGATATAAATATATAAAATGTGGATATAACTAATGACTATACCTCAACCATCTCTCCTCCTTTGATCTCCTGGACGTGGTTAAACTTCCCAGTGTTACAAACCAGTTTTCCACCGTCCATGTTGACAGTGCACTGAAAACACAAAACAAATAGTATCTTATGTTGTGGACATATAGAGACAGAAGCAGAATCACTTTGTCAACGTTTTCTGTGATTTGCATTTTAGAAAAGTACAGATGCAACCATATATATATATATGTTCCATTTATACATTATTGTTTAAGTCACATTCAAAACAAAATCCTCTTAGATGCAACAAGAGAGGACTTTGTTGCCTCTAAGAGCTCTGGTGTGCACTGTCTGGTCTATGTTTTTTGTCTGTGATACAACTCTTCTGACCACCCTGGGAAAACCATGTTCCAGCTTCTTCCCTCTGGCAGAAGATATCGCTCTCTGAGATGCAGGACATCTCGTTACGCTAACAGTTTTTATCCACAGGCTGTTATCAGTGTGAACAGAGCACTTTAATGATTTGCACTTGTTTTGAAACTGTTTTAGTCGATCCATTTCACAGTGACATTTGTTTACTTTTTTACTTTTTATTTCTATACTTTTAATGTTTTATGTCTGTATTTGTCTTGTGGGAACTAGAGACTTTTGCTAATGTATTCCAATGTGGTTTTACTACAAATGGCAAATAAATGAATCTGAATCTGACAACAATAGAAAACATATGTTTCATACTGAGAGCTGATTGGCTGAGTGAGGACTGCTTTTCTCTTTAACCAAGTAAAAGTTGACCTAAAATCTGACAAAAAAAATAAAAAATACAAACAAAAACTAGTGGTACTAACATGGATTGTCTCAGTTCCTTTCTGTGGCTTCAAAGATATCTATCTTTTCCTTGTATCTGTGCTATGTCTTCCTGATTACTCAAATTTAAAGAAAGACTAACTACTTTGCAGATGATGACAGATTAGCCATGCTTCTAAGTGAGTAAATTCATTGTGGTGAGCTATTAAGAGATCCTTTGTTCATCGCACAGAGGGGAAATGTCGGCTTAAGTTCTGCATGATTTACAAATGAGAGATTTTTGTACTTTTATACTTAAAGCTGGGGAACCTAACCTTCAAACCACAAAAATGGAACAATGAACGAACCACGGCACTAGTTCTTTGCTCTAAAAACAACACAAACGTATCACTAGTTTTCACATCTGTGTAAGTTAAGCCTTTGTCACAACTTTTCTACTTTTTCAGGCAGAACAGTTCAAAAGTGAGGACCAGCTTCACTCAGCCCAAAGCCTCCAATAGTGACTCACAGGGATTTTTCTCACGCAAACTACACCAAATAAGATGAAGACAGAAAGACTTTGACAAAAAGGGGAAGAATGAGTTTCATATAGTGGTACCTTTTAGTTTTTCTTAAATATCAAACACTAGTATTAGAGGCATCTGCTGTCACTGCAAAAGGATCAAATATGAAGTGATTGGATTGTGGTTTTATCTTAATCCGAGAACATTCTGACTGTTAAAACAAGATTCTCCAGTGGGACAAAGCCATTTAATTTTATTTGCATTATTTTCTCATTCTAAAGGAGACATTTCTGTATCTTTTTTAAACAAGATCATTTTTCTTTGTCTCATTGTCAAATCTTGTTTTAAGGCTTAGTCAGAATGTGCTCAGATTAAGACACATTTGGCCAAATTTGAGCAATTTCCAACGTGATTTTCCTAACTTTTTACTGTGTACCTTATTGCCACCTCCAGCGACTGTGTTCGTACCTTGATCTTCTTGCCGTCCATGGTGGTGATCTCAGCCTCCTTGCCGATGGTAAAGGCGTTGGTCAGGGTCTTCCCAGGGGTTTTGGACGTGATCACAAAGTCATTACCGCTCTGCTTGATCTCAGTAATGGGCTTGATGTCTTTGGCCATTTTGATCACCTCTTCTGGAAGCTCTATTGGAAATGAAACAACCGCAGACAACACATAAATTTGCTTGTTACTGGTCGACGTGAAGCCCGGGGCTGGACCTCACCCATGGCCCTGAGGAACTCTTCGTAGTTCTCCTGAGCGTAGACCTGCCACGTCCCGTTAAAGGCCATGATGAGGGTTGGTCTCCTGGAGGCTGAGGTGACTCTGTGAAGAATCAAAGCAAAGTGGGGGCAGAGGCTTGGGGCCGTCTTCTCTTATAGGCAAAAGCAACGTGCCTGCGGGTGTGTAATGAGTAACAGCCCATGGAGTAATCCCGAGTGTTTGGACAACCGGGAGTTCAGTAACTTTTGCTCTAACCAAAAAAATGTTATAAAGGCAAAGGGTTCAGCACGACAAAGAGGATCCATCTCCAGTGTGTGATCTTTGCCAGAACTAAAATGAAGGAATGGTTTTATATGTTTGATCTTTCGGCATTGAACTGGACATGATTTTTAATACATTTCAAACTATAAATGTTGTAGTGCAGGCGTCTCCAACCTGTAGCTCTCCACCCCCTTCCAGGTAGCTCCCAAAAGATTTAGAATTCATTTCCAAATCAAATATTGCCTTAAAGGTGCATTCACTGAAACACTGTGGGGGGTGTGGTTTTGACTCGGCGCTACTCGGATGCTAATGCTAAGCTAACCTGAATCCTTTACTGCACCTTTGGTATTTCATTTTCTATTATTCATTACGATAATTTATTCTTGTAAATGTTCTTACTTTGTGCACCAGTAACAAATATAGTAGAAAAGACTGAAGGGCTTCACATGATTCTGTTCCGTTTTTCCGATCAAATAAATAATGAATACAGTACGAGCAGGTTGGCATCTCCACAGACCTGACTCGTACTTGGCCTAGATCTGGGTCTGGTCCAGTTCTTTCCAGGTTCATGTTTTTAAATTCTTTTCGGACATAAACTTCCCCATTATTCCCTTAAATCTATTGGTTTTCAAAAGTTCTCCAATTAAAAACATGTCAGATGTTTCTGTGGCGCCACCTGCAGGTCAAAGCCAGATCCTGCCAGACCTCTGAGGCTGTGAAGGGCAGGGCCTGGTTAGTGCTGTGATGGGAGACATCTGGGAACAGCAGGTGCCACAGTGGAGCGGCTGCGGCTGTAAAGTGCCAAACTGTGGTTGTGTCCTTAGGCAAGACACTTCCTCCACATTAGAATGAGTCTGGTGTGTGTGTGAGTGGTTGGTGGTGGTGGAAGGGGCTGATGGCACAGACTGGTTGCCTCGCTTCTGTCAGTGTGCCCCAGGGCAGCTGTGGCTACAGTAGTTTATCACCACCGTGTTGATGATCCTAAAAAGCGCTATAGAAAAAACAAATGCATTATATACAGTATTTACCAGACTGAGGTTTTTGAGTCACTATTTGAAGCTTTGAGCTGATTGGCTGAATGTGAGCGGTCTCCCCCTTTTCCCTTTGTGTCCAAAAAAGCCGATCTACAGATGTGACGGAGACCAACAAATACACAGAGGTGAAAACTAGTGATGGAACCAGACTGTTTTAGCGTCAGGAACTGGTTACATGGATCTTATTGCATCCCGCTGTAGTTCAGCATTTTTTTGGTCCGAAAGTTGCTTTAAATTTGCACTAGTTTAAATAATGACATTCTCCAGATCTGCTGAAATGAGTAAAAAAAAAACCTCTCTACATTTCTCTTTGACACATGAGAATCCAAGTGTTGAGAGGCCCTGCTGCTGTCGGGTCAATGGCCACCAGGACTGTTTGCTTAACACACATTTAGACACAGATACACACAGAAACACACACATTCTGCACAAAACTCATTCATTTATTGATGTTTTTGATCATTACATCCAGCTCCTTCCTCTCAACATGACTTTACCTTTTACCCCTTTGTTTTTAATGATCTGTGGTGGAAGAAGAACTCACAAAAGGCAAGTCAAATGGTGCTTTCAGACCGCAAACGCTGAAGCCCCGCTCACCAGACGCGCATTCTCAAGTTTTCAGACGCACGGGTCTTCACACCAGAACGTCCTGACGCGAGCCGGAAGTAGCTGGCCGGCTCTGATGCTAACAGAGCTATGCTAGCGGCTTCTTGTGTACAGATCTTCTCCAATAATGCAGCTTTGCAGCTTGTCTGTGTTCAGAGACCTTCCACAGACTTTATATAACAGCAGTATGTGTTCACGGAGGTGCGCAATACATTTATTTTATTATTAAACAATATTTCCGCATCGCCGAACACACTCGAAGCAGTTGCATAAGGTCACAGGACCCTGGTTTAGTCCTGGTTTAGTCCTGGTGTAGCTCCTGTTTTGGCTGTTTACAGTATTTTCAGTCTGCTCGCTCAGTCCGCTAATGTCCCCGTGACCACTTTGCTGCTCTCTGATTGGTCGCTGCATGAACGTCCCGAGGAAAGGTTGAGCAAAGTTTATCTCCTGTGGGCGTCCATTTTCCGCTCCTGCTCCTCCTCTTTGACTTTCCCGCAAAGTCTGTGCGTCTCTACAGAACAGTCCGTTCGTGCGTTGTGACGGTCGAACGCGCGTCACCATTGACTTTGCATTGAAAGCTGACGCAGCATGATCCGGTCTGAAAGCACCAGAAGAAAGTAAAGGCAAAAGTATAACAACAACAAAAAAGTCCCCAAAAAAACAGTTTCCGTTTTTCACATGTGTCAAATGTCAGTAATTCATACATGTCTTTAACAGATGCTAAAACGTGTGAATATACAGGAAATACAGCAAAAGTAAAGGCTACTGCAAATACAAACAGAAAAACCGGAATTAACTGACACACATTTGAGAGTCAATGTGAATAATCTAGATACAGAAACATGAAGTTGTTAGGTTCAATTCAAATCAATTCATCCAACTTTTCTGTGGGCCCCGAAGTGACCTCATACTGGTCCCTACAAGGTCAAAAACACAGGATCCCTCCCCCTCAATGTGGGCCTCCCCCGAGGTTTCCCACTTTTCTCCTTAGATTGTAGATTTAAAAATGTATGCGTCTAAATTGTACTTTAATTTTAGTAACTTGTACTTTTATTTTACTAACATATTTTAAAATACAGTGCAACAAAAGTACATGTTAGTAACTTGCACTTTTATTTCACTAACCCAAACTTTTTAGCAAATTGCCCCACAGTGGGACACATAAAGGATCTCTTAGGCTGCTGTCACCTAAAGCACGGATCAAATTGCGAAAAAGCACGGTTAATGTGGGCCTCAGCTCATTTCGCAATTTGATCCGGACTTTAGGTGCTATGTGACCGCGGCATCTGGGCCAGAGCGCGGTTGTTAGAGGTGGGCCAGAGCGCTTGTGAGAGCGGTGGGCCGGACTGCGGTTGAGATCGGTGGGCCAGAGCACGGTTGAGATCGGTGGGCCAGAGCACGGTTGAGAGAGGTGGGCCAGAGCACGGTTGAGAGAGGTGGGCCAGAGCGCGGTTGAGAGGTGGGCCAGAGCGCGGTTGAGAGGTGGGCCAGAGCGCGGTTGAGAGAGGTGGGCCAGAGCACGGTTGAGATCGGTGGGCCAGAGCACGGTTGAGAGAGGTGGGCCAGAGCACGGTTGAGAGAGGTGGGCCAGAGCGCGGTTGAGAGGTGGGCCAGAGCGCGGTTGAGAGGTGGGCCAGAGCGCGGTTGAGAGAGGTGGGCCAGAGCACGGTTGAGAGAGGTGGGCCAGAGCACGGTTGAGAGAGGTGGGCCAGAGCACGGTTGAGAGAGGTGGGCCAGAGCGCGGTTGAGAGAGGTGGGCCAGAGCACGGTTGAGAGAGGTGGGCCAGAGCACGGTTGAGAGAGGTGGGCCAGAGCACGGTTGAGAGAGGTGGGCCAGAGCACGGTTGAGAGAGGTGGGCCAGAGCGCGGTTGAGAGAGGTGGGCCAGAGCACGGTTGAGAGAGGTGGGCCAGAGCACGGTTGAGAGAGGTGGGCCAGAGCGCGGTTGAGAGAGGTGGGCCAGAGCACGGTTGAGAGAGGTGGGCCAGAGCGCGGTTGAGAAAGGTGGGCCAGAGCGCGGTTGAGAGAGGTGGGCCAGAAGAGCATGGTTGAGAGAGGTGGGCCAGAGCGCGGTTGAGAGAGGTGGGCCAGAGCGCGGTTGAGAGAGGTGGGCCAGAGCGCGGTTGAGAGAGGTGGGCCAGAGCGCGGTTGAGAGAGGTGGGCCAGAGCGCGGTTGAGAGAGGTGGGCCAGAGCGCGGTTGAGAGAGGTGGGCCAGAGCACGGTTGAGAGAGGTGGGCCAGAGCGCGGTTGAGAGAGGTGGGCCAGAGCGCGGTTGAGAGAGGTGGGCCAGAGCGCGGTTGAGAGAGGTGGGCCAGAGCGCGGTTGAGAGAGGTGGGCCAGAGCGCGGTTGAGAGAGGTGGGCCAGAGCGCGGTTGAGAGAGGTGGGCCAGAGCACGGTTGAGAGAGGTGGGCCAGAGCGCGGTTGAGAGAAGTGGGCCAGAGCGCGGTTGAGAGAGGTGGGCCAGAGCGCGGTTAGAGAGGTGGGCCAGAGCGCGGTTGAGAGAGGTGGGCCAGAGCGCGGTTGAGAGAGGTGGGCCAGAGCGCGGTTGAGAGAGGTGGGCCAGAGCGCGGTTGAGAGAGGTGGGCCAGAGCGCGGTTGAGAGAGGTGGGCCAGAGCACGGTTGAGAGAGGTGGGCCAGAGCGCGGTTGAGAGAGGTGGGCCAGAGCGCGGTTGAGAGAGGTGGGCCAGAGCGCGGTTGAGAGAGGTGGGCCAGAGCACGGTTGAGAGAGGTGGGCCAGAGCGCGGTTGAGAGAGGTACATAACCGGGCTTTAGCTGCGCATGTGACCGCAGCCTTAGACGACATTTATGGACTTTATCAACATGTGTCTTTTAACATTGTGTTTGAACTGTTTGATTCTCTGATCTGTGTTGGAAAATCGACAGCTTTGTATAGTCCTCTGAAATAAATTACTATTAACTATTGGCTATTCTTGTGTTTCATGAACCTGGCCAGTAGGGGGCGCATGAGCAGAGGTGGGACAGTTTTGCTCCCATTGAAAACCATGTAAAGTCTGTTTTGGAGTCAAAGGCTCTCCTCCTGTGCGGTGTACGGTTGTTGGAACAGTCTTAATCGAGGACACTCAATTCTAATGAAGTACTAACAAATATTTATCAAAAGAGTCTTGATTTTGGGAATTTTTGGAAAGAAAAACAGAAGAAATGTCTGCGTTTCATTGGGGTGGCCTGCAGGGGGCGCTTATCTGGGAAAGCCTTGATCCACCTCCGCCTCATTCCAGTGATTTCTTCAAAGTGTCCTCCTTTATATGAGACCACAGTTGGAACATGAACAAACTCTGGTCTTTCTCTATTTGTGCGGTTGCTACAAGCGTACACCGCACACAAAGATGCTTCTTCTTCTACTATATCTCTGTGTATTAACCACTTCTTCTTCTACTATATCTCCGTGTATAAACCACTTCTTCTTCTACTATATCTCTGTGTATAAACCCGGCAGACTGCACGTCACGTCCTGTCCCAAGCATGTCATTCGCGCCACTGCCCCGACGTCATGAAACCCAAGAATACAAAATTAAAATTGTGTTTGTATTGAACTGAAAAAATATCTAAGTTATTTTTTTTTCTGGTTTTTTATTTGTTAAACATATGTTTAGTTTTGATGAGTAAAAAAGAAAGTAAGCCATGTTTATTTACTGATGACTTATGAATGACTGTAAAGACGACAAATAAAAAATAGGGCTGTCAAACGATTAACATTTTTTTGTTGATTAATCGCACAGAAATGGTTAACTCACATTTTTAACATTCTATTTCAAATCCACTCCAATTTAAGTTAAATGAGATTATCAAATGTAATGACACATTGTCATTCAGACCAAATGTACTTAAATCTGTTAGATTTACAAACAAACTTTTACTTTTGGGCACAACCAAAATGAGCTGTTAATCAAAGGGAAAATTTACGTACCCCAGCTTTAATTTAGCGAGTTTAGTTTCAGGAGGTTAGGGTTACGCACAAGTTCCAAAGACACTCACACGGCATACAGAGAATAGAGTATGTGTGTATGGTCTAACTGCGGCGCCATTCGCCGTGTTGTTGTTAGCGGCTCACAGCCGTGTTGTTGTTAGCGGCGCCATTCGCCGTGTTGTTGTTAGCGGCGCCATTCGCCGTGTTGTTGTTAGCGGCTCACAGCCGTGTTGTTGTTAGCGGCTCACAGCCAAAAAATGTAATTAACGTGAGTTAACGCGATCATTTTGTCAGCCCTAATAAAATATGATGCTAATCTTCAACCACAAACTAAAACTGCAGACAGAACACTTCTGCTTTACACCACGACACAAAGAAAACCAGATCACGTCTGTGGAGGACCACGTCTGTGGAGGAACACGTCTGTGGAGGACCACGTCTGTGGAGGACCACGTCTGTGGAGGGTCGCGTCTGTGGAGGACCACGTCTGTGGAGGGTCGCGTCTGTGGAGGGTCGCGTCTGTGGAGGGTCGCGTCTGTGGAGGGTCGCGTCTGTGGAGGGTCGCGTCTGTGGAGGACCACGTCTGTGGAGGACCACGTCTGTGGAGGACCACGTCTGTGGAGGACCACGTCTGTGGAGGACCACACTTTGACCTCACTCGATACTTATTCCCGTGTCTCTTATCCCATCATCACCGCGTGCGCCGGCGGCTTGTCCCCTTGTTTGTAGACGCTCACGGTCACGTCCACGGTCTCGGCGCCAAACTGGTTGCTCACTAAGATGCTGTACTTGCCGGAGTCCTGAGTGGTGATGTTGTGGATGGTGATGGTCGTACACTTGTGCTCCTTGACGATGGAGAACTGGCCCTGGCTCACGATCTGTTTGTCGTTTCGAAGCCAGAAGATGTCCGGGTAAGGATCGCCGTCCACGAAGGCCGTCAGGCAAAGAGTCTGGAGAGACAGAGACGGAGAGAGAGGGAGGAAGGAGAGACAGAGACAGAGGGAGGAAGGAGAGACAGAGACAGAGGGAGGAAGGAGAGACAGAGACAGAGACAGAGGGAGGAAGGAGAGACAGAGACAGAGACAGAGGGAGGAAGGAGAGACAGAGGGAGGAAGGAGAGACAGAGACAGAGACAGAGGGAGGAAGGAGAGACAGAGACAGAGGGAGGAAGGAGAGACAGAGACAGAGACTTATCAGTTTCATGGTGTGGATTTTGTTATTTTGTACTTTTTGACTTATGTTCTCTGTGGTTTTATTTTTTGTTTTACCTCCTGTCCTGTTCCCCTGTCTTGATGGTCTGCCCCGCCCTGATGTGTTTCACCTGTGTCTCTCTGTGTCTATATGTACCTGTGTCTTTATCTATATGTACCTGTGTCTCTGTGTGTCATGTACCTGTGTCTCTCTGTGTCTATATGTACCTGTGTCTCTCTGTGTCTATATGTACCTGTGTCTTTATCTATATGTACCTGTGTCTCTGTGTGTCATGTACCTGTGTCTCTCTGTGTCTATATGTACCTGTGTCTTTATCTATATGTACCTGTGTCTCTGTGTGTCATGTACCTGTGTCTCTCTGTGTCTATATGTACCTGTGTCTTTATCTATATGTACCTGTGTCTCTGTGTGTCTATATGTACCTGTGTCTCTGTGTGTCATGTACCTGTGTCTCTCTGTGTCTATATGTACCTGTGTCTCTGTGTGTCTATATGTACCTGTGTCTCTGTGTGTCATGTACCTGTGTCTCTGTGTGTCATGTACCTGTGTCTCTGTGTGTCTATATGTACCTGTGTCTATATGTACCTGTGTCTATATGTACCTGTGTCTCTGTGTGTCTATAAGTACCTATGTCTCTGTGTCTCTCTGTGTGTCTATATGTACCTGTGTCTCTGTGTGTCTACAGTATATGTACCATATGCTAAGACATAAACGCTTAAGAGCTACAACAAAAATACACAGTACCCACACACAAACACACACACACAATACACACACACATACATGCATACATATCGCCTATACACACATACACACACACAAACACACACACACCAATTGTAAATAGACAGATTTCCGGAATACCTTGCACTCCATGATCGCCGCCACATCTGGCAGCCCCTTGATCACATGTGCTCTGCCTGTTCAAAACATAAATAATCAAATCTAACGGTTTTTTTCCAAACTGTGTCAAATCCTGAAAAAAAAACACTCACGTTTTGCATCCAGAGCGGCTTGTCTGCGGGATCCAAACAAAGGAGAGAGAGATGAGCATGTGTGTTAGCTTAGCACAGGGTTAGCTCCAGTGGCGGACTCTCAAGGCCTACAAAGCCTTCACTGCTGGCCTAAACGTGTAATTTTCTTAATATTATTATTTGTTTTCTATGTTTCACAAACTACGTTGGTTGCGCAGCTTCCAGCTTCAGCTCGACATTTGGGAGGTCTGGTGTCTAACAGTTTTTATCCAATCATTGCTGAGCGTCATGTGTTGCTATGGCCCAGAATCTGCCTCTAGGCCTTCAGACTCTGCAGTGCTGGCCCGCGGTAGCTCACAGTCAATGAAAACAAACCTGTGGCATTAACCAATCAGTGCAAAGTCTGTTTCCTGAGGGCCAGCGCGAAGGCCCTGTGCGGTGCCAGAGCCTGCACGCCTTTTGATTGGATCACGATACAGAGACGTGACAAAGCTGACCATTAGCTCTCACACGGGGTTAGCTCTCACACAGGGTTAGCTCTCACACGGGGTTAGCTCTCACACGGGGTTAGCTCTCACACAGGGTTAGCTCTCACACGGGGTTAGCTCTCACACGGGGTTAGCTCTCACACAGGGTTAGCTCTCACACGGGGTTAGCTCTCACACGGGGTTAGCTCTCACACGGGGTTAGCTCTCACACGGGGTTAGCTCTCACACGGGGTTAGCTCTCACACGGGGTTAACTCACACGGGGTTAACTCTCACACAGGGTTAGCTCCCACACGGGGTTAACTCTCACACAGGGTTAGCTCCCACACGGGGTTAGCTCTCACAAAGGGTTAGCTCTCACACAGGGTTAGCTCTCACACGGGGTTAGCTCTCACACGGGGTTAACTCTCACACGGGGTTAGCTCTCACACAGGGTTAACTCTCACACGGGGTTAACTCTCACACAGGGTTAGCTCTCACACGGGGTTAGCTCTCACACAGGGTTAGCTCTCACACGGGGTTAACTCTCACACAGGGTTAGCTCTCACACGGGGTTAGCTCTCACACAGGGTTAGCTCTCACACGGGGTTAGCTCTCACACGGGGTTAGCTCTCACACGGGGTTAACTCTCACACGGGGTTAGCTCTCACACGGGGTTAGCTCTCACACGGGGTTAGCTCTCACACGGGGTTAACAACTCTTACACAGGGTTAGCTCTCACACTCACACAGGGTTAGCTCTCACACAGGGTTAGCTCTCACACAGGGTTAGCTCTCACACTCACACAGGGTTAGCTCTCACACAGGGTTAGCTCTCTTACTTCAGCCGCTGGTATTCCTTTAGGGCGTCTGCAAACTCTGTAAACAAACACGAAAACATCTGCGTTGACAAATATAGCATGATAAATAAAAATAACAATAGTTTTTTAATAGTTTCTTCTTTGTATATAAAGTTATTTGGTTATTTCTTTATTATATACATACAGTATATATATATATATATATATATATATATATATATATATATATATGCCGTGGGCGGCACGGTGGCCGAGTGGATAGCACTCTCGCCTCTCAGCAAGAAGGTCCTGGGTTCAAATCCCGGCCAGACCAGGGCCTTTCTGAGTGGAGTTTGCATGTTCTCCCCGTGTCTGTGTAGGTTTCCTCCGGGTACTCCGGTTTCCTCTACCACTAAAAATATGTACAATAGGTCTGGCATGCGCCTTCTGTTCGGCGACCCCGCTCCCATCTCTGTCTGGAGTGAGAGACAAGTGCCCAAAAAAATAATAACAATTGTAAACCGCTTTGTGACCCTTGTCTGTGAAAGGCGGTATATAAATAAACATTACTACTACTACTTACTTACTATATATATATATATATATATATATATATATATATATACAGTATGGAGAACAAGTCAAAAAACAAAACAGCAATGCATAATTTTAACCAAGAATGGATCTTTTTCAAGTTTACTATTTATTGTTTTCCATTTTGCATAAGTCTAAAGATAGTTCTGCATTGGTGGATATTTGACATAACACTGTCTCTGTTTGCAGTCATCTCATTATCCAAGCTCTAAAACACTGAAATGTTTATAGAAGGAGGGGAAACCGGAGCACCTGGAGTACATCTAAGCAGACACAAGGAGAACATGCAAACTTCAACTACGTCTGGAGGGGGAATTGAACCCAGGACCTTGTTAATAATAGTAATATTGCCTCGGTTTTATACAGCGCTTTTTTGGACACTCACTCAAAGACTACTGTAGCCACAGCTGCCCTGGGGCACACTGACAGAAGTGAGGCAACCAGTCTGTGCCATCAGCCCCTCCCACCACCAACCATTCACACACACACCAGACTCATTCTAGACAATGGGGGTGAAGTGTCTTGCCCAAGGACACAACGATAGCAGACAGTGGGAGTAGATGGTGAAAGTCGGGCTCGAACCCACGACCCTCTGGCTCAAAGGCCAATGCTCTACAACTGAGCTACTGTTGCTCTGCAGCAAAACCAACCTTTTATTTTAATTTTTTTACTTTCGCATAATATTGCAAAAAATAATTTGTTACAGTTGCCCTAAGTGATAGATGGATGGATATATAGAGAGAAAGGTAGAGATAGAGAGAGAGAGGGATAGGTAGATAGAGATAGAGATATAGGTAGATAGAGAGATAGGTAGATAGAGATAGAGAGATAGATTTATGGCTCGGTCCAGACTAAACTGTATGTGTTACATTTTGGTCAATGAAACAAAAAAGTCTGAAACTGTCCGTGGCCGTTTCTGCTGCATGTTCACAGACCTACTCTTGTTTGTCCAGTAGAGGGCGCTCTACTTATCAACAGCGCTCCCAGATACCTGTTTAGAGCGTAACAAGTGGACAAGATTGTTACGCCCAAAACGCTCAGTTTGTCTGCAGTTATTGATTTTTGTTTTGATTTTTTTGCATAATGTATAATGTATAATTAATGATTAATTCTAGTTTTCTCCCCAACCATCAGCCATTAAATAGTCTTTCATCCTGTTCATTCACAAAAACTCCAACACGACATGTCCTAAATGTAACGATTACGTCAATACACTTTTTAAAAAAATAGTTTTAGCTGCTATTTTGAGACGATGTATATCTACAAGCTACATAGTATTAAAACTATGTTAAGTTAGATTGACACATTGCACAGTAGTGTGAAGTGAGCCATATAGATAGGTAGATAGAGACTTTTATTGTCCTCTGTGGTTTATCCATCTAAAAATAAAATAAATAATTAAATGACAGTGACTACATCTGACATGAACGCAGGTGTTGCTGAACTGCAGCATGTTTGGGCCCAGTCTGACCTGGTCCGGACAGCTCCAGGTGCCGTGTGTGTGTCTCGGCTCCATCAAACATCTCCAAAGTGTACTTCCCCTGGTCCTTCTCCGTGGGGCCGAGAACCTCAGCCCAGACCTTGTGTGCGCTGTAGCCAGTCCTCAGCCTGCTCTGGTCCATGGGCTTTCCTCTACACAACACCACAGGAGAAGAAATCACTTTATAACAAGGAGCAAAGACGTTATTATTGGTGGTGCTTTGTGCAGTGACATGCAACGGCCAGCAGAGGGAACCAAAGGACCAGCACACGATTTACACACAGGATTACTTCAAGTTTTACTCTTATTTTGATTTAAACAAGATGGAAAACACAAGACAGAGACTGAAAACAAACAAATCCATATTATGAATTGTGAATGAACAGCAATGAGACCTGGTGATAGTCAAGATTAGTATATTATTTGCATGTCTGTATTTTTATTTCTTTTTTTGAGTACTTTGAGTAGTGGTTATACAGATAAACTTGCCTTGCCTGATGTAACTTTGCTACTGATACACAGTCACATGGTGCTTAACAAAACCATAATCAAATCTGTATTGTAATTATCTTTCTTTCAGTCTTTTAGGAATTACCAATCGAAGCTGTGTTTTAGGGGCAAATATATTTTTTAGAAGTGGCAGTCAGTAGTAGTAGTCGTAGCAGGACTAGTAGTAGCAGCAGTAGTAGTAGTAGTAGCAGTAGTAGCAGTAGCAGTAGTTGTAGTAGTAATAGCAGTAGTAGTAGCAGTAGCAGTAGTAGTAGTAGTTGCAGTAGCAGTAGTAGTAGTAGTAGTAGTAGCAGTAGTAGCAGCAGTAGCAGTAGTAGTAGCAGTAGTAGCAGCAGTAGCAGTAGTTGCAGCAGTAGTAGTAGCAGCAGTAGTAGTAGTAGTAGCAGTAGTAGACCCAGGAAGTACGACCACATTAGTCCAGTCCTCAGGTCTCTGCACTGGCTTCCTGTGGCTCAGAGAATAGACTTTAAAACAGCTTTGCTTGTGTACAAGTCTCTCCATGGCCTTGACCAAAATATATTAGTGACATGTTAGTCCCATATGAACCAGCCCGGACTCTGAGGAGCACAGGGACTGGTCTCCTGCTGGGACTCTGAGGAGCACAGGGACTGGACTCCTGCTGGGACTCTGAGGAGCACAGGGACTGGCCTCCTGCTGGGACTCTGAGGAGCACAGGGACTGGACTCCTGCTGGGACTCTGAGGAGCACAGGGACTGGACTCCTGCTGGGACTCTGAGGAGCACAGGGACTGGACTCCTGCTGGGACTCTGAGGAGCACAGGGACTGGACTCCTGCTGGGACTCTGAGGAGCACAGGGACTGGACTCCTGCTGGGACTCTGAGGAGCACAGGGACTGGCCTCCTGCTGGGACTCTGAGGAGCACAGGGACTGGCCTCCTGCTGGGACTCTGAGGAGCACAGGGACTGGACTCCTGTTAGTGCCCAGAGTCAGGACTAAACATGGGGAGGCTGCTTTTCAGATTCATGCTGCTAAAATCTGGAACAGTCTTCCTGAAGATGTGAGACAGGCCTCCTCCAATGTTTAAAACCAGGTTAAAGACAGTTCTGTTTAGCTGTGCTACAACTGAGGGATTTTATATTTTTATCTTTCTTTTTAATGTTCTGTGATTATTTATGATTTTAATGCTTTCTTGTTTTGTTCAGCACTTTGAATTGCCTTGTGTACAGTGATGGGAATAACGGCGTTACTAGTAACGGCGTTACTAACGCCGTTACTTTTTTCAGTAACGAGTAATCTAACTAATTACTTTGACAGTAACTATAACGCCGTTATCATTTCCGACATCCCGTTACTGCGCGTTACTCAAGACGCACAATGAACGTGTTGTCATGAGAGAAGGGAGGATGAGAAAACCTCTCAGCAATTATTGGCTGATGTAAATCATATTTCCTTTACAATCTACATGTCTACAGTTGAGAGGATGGCTCATAAATTGTGTTTTTGAAACAAATATGGGTCTTAATCGCGCTCAACCACGGCTTGTATCACCGTGAGGTCAGCCGCAGAGTAGCGCATGTGAGCGCAGAAGTCGGCTGCATACAATTCCATCGATAAGCTCCTTGCTCTTCCTGGTTTATCTGCTAAGGACAGCAACAGGTTTGGCTAACATACATATAACACATTTTTACATAATCTAAAATGCACATAGGGTAATTTTTCAATTACTATAGGAATGATAAGAAAGAGAGGTGAAGTGTAAGACGGTTGATTTTGGAAATTGGATGCAGCCGGCTGCAGCAAAACAGAGGAGTTTATGGAGGACACACGCGTTTTGTTTTACTTTTTAAAACTCATTGGACTCATTTCCAAATGGAGGATTACATATCTACGCTCAAACCATTCACTGGATTTAAACAAGGAACTGGTCTGAACCGAAGTGGACTGTGCAGGTCATTTATAAGGTATAGCTATAAGGTAAGACCCATAACTCATAGTTTTGCGTTTTGTATGAACAAACAATGCGGGCATAAAACATATTTTGCTGTAGCCAAACAAATTGTCCACTTGATTTATATGATGTATATGTTCATCTGATTGGACTGAAGTCAGTGCTTCACCGGTGTTTCCACATTCACAGTGGCGGGCTTTACAGCACAGTGAGAGATGAAGAGTGAACAGGACTTCAGCAGCAAAACAGCCTTTTCTAGATGGAAATATTGGCACTGTTAAAGGTAAAAATGCGCACGTCGGGTGCACATTATGTTCCAGAACAAAACGAAAAAGTAACGCAATAGTTACTTTTACTGGTAACTAGTTACTTTTATAGTGGAGTAACTCCGTTAGTAACTCAGTTACTTTTTGGGAGAAGTAACTAGTAACTATAACTAATTACTTTTTCAAAGTAACGTGCCCAACACTGCTTGTGTATGAATTGTGCTATATAAATAGACTTGCCTTGCCTAAACTTGCCTAGTAGCAGTAGTAGTAGTAGCAGCAGTAGTAGTAGTAGTAGCAGTAGTAGCAGCAGTAGCAGTAGTAGCAGTAGCAGCAGTAGCAGCAGTAGTAGCAGCCATAGTAGTAGTTGCAGTAGCAGTAGTAGCAGCAGCAGTAGCAGCAGTAGTAGTAGCAGTAGTAGCAGCAGTAGTAGCAGTAGCAGTAGTAGCAGCAGTAGTAGCAGTAGCAGTAGTAGTAGCAGTAGCAGTAGTAGTAGTAGTTGCAGTAGCAGTAGTAGCAGCAGTAGTAGTAGTAGCAGTAGCAGCAGTAGCAGCAGTAGTAGCAGCCGTAGTAGTAGTTGCAGTAGCAGTAGTAGCAGCAGTAGTAGTAGCAGTAGTAGTAGTAGTAGTAGCAGTAGTAGCAGCAGTAGCAGTAGTAGCAGTAGCAGCAGTAGTAGCAGCCGTAGTAGTAGTTGCAGTAGCAGTAGTAGCAGCAGTAGTAGTAGCAGTAGTAGCAGCAGTAGTAGCAGTAGCAGCAGTAGCAGTAGCAGTAGTAGCAGCAGTAGTAGCAGTAGCAGTAGTAGTAGCAGTAGCAGTAGTAGTAGTAGTTGCAGTAGCAGTAGTAGCAGCAGTAGTAGTAGCAGTAGTAGCAGTAGCAGTAGTAGCAGCAGTAGCAGTAGTAGCAGTAGCAGCAGTAGTAGCAGCAGTAGCAGTAGTAGCAGCAGTAGCAGTAGTAGCAGTAGCAGTAGCAGCAGTAGCAGCAGTAGTAGCAGCCGTAGTAGTAGTTGCAGTAGCAGTAGTAGCAGCAGTAGTAGCAGCCGTAGTAGTAGTTGCAGTAGCAGTAGTAGCAGCAGTAGTAGTAGCAGTAGTAGCAGCAGTAGTAGCAGTAGTAGCAGCAGTAGTAGCAGTAGCAGTAGTAGTAGTAGTAGCAGTAGCAGTAGTAGCAGTAGCAGTAGTAGCAGCAGTAGTAGCAGTAGTAGTAGTAGCAGTAGTAGTAGTAGCAGTAGTAGTAGTTGCAGTAGTAGCAGTAGCAGCAGTAGTAGCAGTAGCAGTAGTAGCAGCAGTAGTAGTACTCACTTGAAGAGCCAGCTGGTCTTCAGGTAGTATATATAGTACTTGAGGTTGCAGTAGAGTCTGAATCCTTCCTCAGAACATTCCAGACTCAGAGGTCCAGCCGACAGCGCTGCACAGACGAGCACCAACATTCAACAATTTGCCATTTGCAGTAAAACCACATTGGAAAAACTGTGCAAGACCCTCCGTGCAGCAGACAGCACACACCTCTGCCAGGACTCACCATAAACGTCCTTTTTATGTCAGTGAGCAAGCAAAGCACACTATGGGAAAAAAACATTTGATCTTTTACATACTGAGAGCTGATTGGCCGAGTGAGAGCTGGTCCTATACATCTGAAGACATGACCGAGGCCAAAACTACAGAGTTAGATTCTTTTTGTGGTCTCAAAGTTAGGTACTCCAACTTGAAGCGTTCTAATTGACACATTGGAATACCTGTCCCTATATAAACATATGGTCAGTGTTTTTTTTCAGAGCAGATCAATGCAAACATATGGTTTGTTTACTACAACATATGGACCCAATCTTTCATAATTACCGCGTTACTTCACAGCCGTAATAAAGTCCACAGCAGCACGACGGAAAAGGATCAGAAAAGATACAAAGAAGTTCTTGACTGGGATTTTAGACTTGCAACATGGAGCTGGAGGTTTGTTTACTATAGATTTCTTTACTGCTCTTTTCCAATACTTTAACTGATGACAGTAGTTCAGAGATATCTGAATATTTGGTAAAGTACCACATGGCCACATGGTACTTTACCAGTGAGATTAGCTCCACGCGGTAAGTTCTAGCGCCCGGATCACAAACTTTCTGATTGGTGACACGGTGGAGGGCGGGACATCGAAATGAAAACAATAACAAGATTTAGGGGCTATTAAAGTAATTTAGACATTTAAATATCTCTGAACTACTGTTATCAGTTAAATAAGTATTGGGAAAGAGCAGTTTATTATTATGACAGATTAGGGCCCTTTAATAATGACGGATTAGGGCCCTTTAATGATGACAGATTAGGGCCCTTTAATGATGACAGACTAGGGCCCTTTAATGATGACAGATTACGGCCCTTTAATGATGACAGATTAGGGCCCTTTAATGATGACAGATTAGGGCCCTTTAATGATGACAGATTAGGGCCCTTTAATGATGACAGATTAAGGCCCTTTAATGATGACAGATTAAGGCCCTTTAATGATGACAGATTAGGGCCCTTTAATGATGACAGATTAGGGCCCTTTAATGATGACAGATAAGGGCCCTTTAATGATGACAGATTAGGGCCCTTCAATGATGACGATTAGGGCCCTTTAATTATGACAGATTTAGGCCCTTTAATGATGACAGATTATGGCCCTGAATGATGACAGATTAGGGCCCTTTAATGATGACAGATTAGGGCCCTTTAATGATGACAGATTAGGGCCCTTTAATGATGACAGATAAGGGCCCTTTAATGATGACAGATTAGGGCCCTTCAATGATGACGATTAGGGCCCTTTAATTATGACAGATTTAGGCCCTTTAATGATGACAGATTATGGCCCTGAATGATGACAGATTAGGGCCCTTTAACTCACTGACTGCCAGGCATTTTCAGATTTGAGAAGTGCATTCTGCCAGCAATTTTAGGTGATTTGACCCAACTTTGAAGTGCCACAGAATATTCATTTTTTAGACGATGTAAACACCAAGGGCACCAAATTAAAGATTCACCTCTCTGCTTTACTCTGAAAAAAACAGTTTGTTTCTACCTCTTACCGTTCTTGCGTTATTCGCCATAGAACAAAGCATACTTTCACCCATAACACCTGGTCTGAGCAAGAAAACAGAGAAAAGGAGCTGTATGTAAACAGGAACATATCAAGCAGAAAAGAGACTTTTAGATGCATTTTTGCTGCTTTAGTGACAACTCAAAACATCTTCACACTTGTTCCATTACAAAAAATATAAAAACATGACTCTGAAATAATACTTTTGATGGCAAATTGTTGGCAATTTATTCACAGATAGAAAATTTAACTTTCTTCTATACCATCAACCAAAACGTCAAACAACAACAACACAAAGATCAATAAAACTATAGATGTATAAAATAGAATGAAGCATGTGAATTTGAGTGTGTGTGTGTGTGTGACTGTCAGTGTGCGAGTGAGTGTCTGTGTGAGTGAGTGTCTGTGTGAGTGAGTGTCAGTGTGTGTGAATGTCAGTGTGCGAGTGAGTGTCTGTGTGCGTGAGTGAGTGCGTGTGAGTGTTTGTGAGTGTGTCCGATAAATCATGATCAGGTTTGCTGAACGAATCCGAGGCATCAGTAACAGCAGCAGCTGATACGCTGGAGAGGCGGAAGGTGTGTCTCTGCTCTTGCTCCGCGCAAATGTAGCTGCAGAGACGGACCTCCACCGGGGTCTCCACTCTCTCCCCTCTCGACCTCACTCACTGATCCGCGAGTCAATCTCTGAAGCAGTGTATACTGCTTATAACTATTCTTTTTCGCCATCACTCTTGCTATACTATCGCTAAACTAGATCGTCTCAATGCTACAGCAGCACGCTGTCCAAAGACCCCACACTCCTCCTCCTCCTCTCCACTGACTTATGACCTCTCCTGTGGTGCAATACTGCATCCTACTGGTGGTGATTTATCATTACAGGTACATTTGCACTATATATCAGTGTTGTGGGTCATTAACAAGGTGCGCCAGACATTACTGCAGCCTCCCGTGTAATAACACGAAAAACTCGTCAAACTCGTCATGGGCAGTGAGCGTTACTATTCAACATGACGAGTTTTGTCGTCATGGGCAGTGAATGAGTTAATGATGACAGATTAGGGCCCTTTAATGATGACAGATTAGGGCCCTTTAATGATGACAGATTAGGGCCCTTTAATGATGACAGATTAAGGCCTAATCTGACTCGTGCCTTAAACACTCACCACACTGTTTGCTCAGCTGCTGCAGGAGCTTGTCGAACTCTGCAAATCAGGAGAAGCATTAGGCCTCAGAATGAATAGATTTTCTAATTTACATATTCAACACTGGGCCAAGCTGAGCCCGAGCTGTTAAAGGTATTGTGTTTTGTGAATCGTAAAAGGTCGCGTCCCAAACCTCCATCCGATAGTTTTAACGTGCTCTGATCCTCTCCCCTCTTATCAGACACCAGCGCTCTGTAGGCGCCCATCTCCTCCTGCGAAACCTGTGGGTAAGAAAGTCAATTTTATCTATATGGCGCCTTTCACAGACCAGAGAAAGGACTCACTTACACCAGGCATGTCCAAACTCAGGCCTGGGGGCCAATTGCGGCCCTCAGTGTCATAGTATGTGGCCCTCTGCCTCGCTAACCCACAGTAGTCTTTGAGATCACAAGTTCACTGTGTCATCCATCCAACTTCAGCTCAGCCATTATAGACCTCGTTCTAAAGCCCAGTACGTCTGGAGTTCAGTTGGTGAGATGGTAAACATGTGTCATTCAGCCAACTTCAGCTCTGTTATAGATCATTTTAAAGCTCGATGCCAGTCAAGACAGTTTTTCAGTCCGTGACGTTGGCCCCTGGACTAGTCTAGGGAACTAAAGTGGGCCTCTTACTTAAATGTTTGGACACCCCTGACTTTGAAGTAAGTAAGTAAGGTTTTTTATTTAGCGCATGAAAACACCATGACAACAACATTTGCTTAATTTACTTTTTCTCAATGTTTTTAACCAGGTTACATTGGTCATTCATATTTTTGTTTATATACATAGTAAGGGAAAGTATTTGCAGCACGGCTAAGAACAATTATTCTGTGAAAATGAGGTGACAATTCTTTCTACTTTGCGTACCTGTGAGACGGTGAGCGAGCTGAGGCCAGACGTCTGGTCCCACACGACCTGCTTCATCTCCTTTCCGTCCTTGAACCACTTCAGCTTCGTGTCCTTGTTTGTATTTGTCACCTGCAAGAAGAGTTTTCATTTTCATATTTGACCAAAAGTAATGTTTATATATACAGCGCCTTTCACAGAGTCACAAAGCACTTTAATATTGTGAGCATTTGTACACACAGAGGCCCATATCAGACCTATCGTACATGTTTTTAGTGTTAGGGGAAACCGGAGCACCTGGAGGAAAACATGCAAACTCCACCCAGAAACTCCCTGTTCCGACCGGGATTTGAACCCACCGTGCCGCCCAATTTCAGTACTCTTTTGTAACTTTACCGTGCACTTTATGACCAGCTCACAGTCGTCAGTCACAGACCAGGACAGAGGATCCAGGAAGTGTGGCCCTTGGAGACGAAACACACGTCACACAGATATAGCACTTTATGGGGACATTGTTTTGGACTTTCACATGTTCTGTTAATATTGTGGAGACCTTTGGACTTCTGAGCTCTCATGGACTTTAAACCAGTGCCAGTGTGTGGTGGACATGAGGCGCTGGGACATTGTGCACAAAACAGATCTGTAGGTTAGAGCTGACTCTACTCTACTCTACTCTACTCTACTCTACTCTACTCTACTCTACTCTAGAGTAGTCTACTCAAGAGTAGAGTAGTCTACTCTACTCTTGAGTAGACTACTCTACTTTACTCTAGAGTAGACTAGAGTAGTCTACTCTACTACTAGTAGACTACTCTAGTCTACTCTAGAGTAAAGTAGAGTAGACTACTCTAGTCTACTCTAGAGTAAAGTAGAGTAGTCTACTCTACTCTAGAGTAGACTAGAGTAGTCTACTCTACTCTTGAGTAGACTAGAGTAGTCTACTCTACTCTAGAGTAGACTAGAGTACTCTACTCTACCCTACTCTAGAGTAGAGTAGTCTACTCTACTTTACTCTAGAGTAGAGTAGTCTACTCTACTTTACTCTAGAGTAGACTAGAGTACTCTACTCTACCCTACTCTACCCTACCCTACCCTACCCTACCCTACTCTACCCTACCCTACCCTACTCTACTCTACCCTCCTCTACCCTACTCTACTCTACCCTCCTCTACCCTTCTCTACTCAGGCCCTGATTAACCGGTACCAGGTACTTCTTTAGAACCAGCTTGGCCTGAGCTGGTATTAAAGTGTTCTAACTGACAGTGATTGCCCAGTGCTGCTGGAAGCCATGATTACCAAGGAACATAACCACAGCTGATTGGTTGTGGGTAGGTTCCTAGGAGATGGTGCTAGATACTACCAGGTAGAGTAGAGTAAAGTAAAGTAGGGCCAAGTGGGGCTGGTGGAAACGGGGCTAAAATGATTGTTATTTGTCTTGGGAATTACAGGCGCCGTCACAATTCATTATGATACAAAAGGTACTCTAGATATAACACTAAAAAATAACAAAATGTACAGTATATTGCTAATGAACTTTTATCAGCTATTGGGAACAAAATGCAACTTGTTTCACAGAATAATTTCATTCAACATACTATTTCAGATTCGAAAACATGGAATGACAGAAGCAAAACGTCTCATTGGTTTAATTTACAGCCAAAATAAAAGTATAATATTTATTCTTTAACCCAAACTGTTTGAGATTTAGAGCAAAGCAAAAACATACTGTATTTATCGCAAGAAGCCAGTTTCAAACCACTTGTAGTTTCACGTTATATGGATATTTGTGTATTTTTTCTAATGTATCATTGTGTTTCTGTGTTGTGTTCTGTTGCTGTGATGCACACGGGACTTACCAGACTTCCTCTTATGATTGTGTCTGTTTGCATCAGCCAAGGCCAGAGTCTGACGAAACACTAACAAAGAGACAGGGAGGCACAATTTCACGTCACTTTTCACACGTTATGCAACAACAATAACAGAAAATATGTTCATCAAGATTAAAACAGTTAAAAGTGAATGGATTTACAACATTACTAGTTCATTTTACAAGCCTTAAGAAAGTTAGCTTTTTCTAGAACCAATGGCAAGTATTTCTGTAATAAGTAGCAGCTTGAAGAATTGTCTAGAACAGTGTCTCCCAAAGTGGGGTCCGCGGCCCCCTGGTGGGCCGCGAGGGTACTGCAGGGGGGCCGCGGGAGGTCATAAAAAATATATATATATATATATAATTATTTGATGTTAAATTTATAATGTTTTGTTTGTAATATTAAAATATTTGTGTTCATTATTTGACTTGAATAATCCACTGTAATCATTTTTGTATTACAATGTTTGTAGCAGAGGCTATTTCCCCAAAATAAAATAACCAGAAGAGCCTATTCTTAATGTTGTCTTCTTGGTTATTATTTTGGGGGGCCACGCAGACCCGTCAGATTTTTAAGGGGGCCTCGGTGTTACTGAGTTTGGGAATGGCTGGTCTAGAAGTATCCATCCATCTATTTTCTTCTGCTTTATCTGTGGCCAGGTTGCAGAGGCAGCTGTCTAAGCAGATACACTCAGACTTTACTCCAGTTCATCCGGGGAATCCTGAGGCGTTCCCAGGCCAGCAGAGAGACACAGTCCCTGCAACGTGTCCTGGGTCTTCCCCTGGTCTCCTCCCAGTGGGACAGTCCAGGAGGCATCCGCAGCATATGCCCGAGCCACCTCAACTGGTTCCTCTCGACGTGGAGAAGCAGTGGCTCTACTCCGAGCTCCTCCCGTGTGACTGAGCTCCTCACCCTATCTCTAAGGGAGCAGCCACTCTGCGGAGGAAGCTCATTTCGACCGCTTGTATCCGCGATCTCGTCCTTTCGGTCAATACCCAAAGCTCATGACCAGAGGTGAGGGAGAGGACCTAGACTGACCGGTGAATCGGGAGCTTTGACTGCAGACGCTGCTCCCTCCGCACCACAACAGTCCTATACAGCGACTGCATCACTGCACCGATCCGCCTGTCAATCTCACGCTCCATCCTTCTCTCACTCGTGAATAAGACCTCAACTACAGGCTAGCAATGGTGCAAGAAGTAATCATTTCTACAGTATATGTGGAATCTGCCCTACACAAAAAACACACGATTCTACTAGTTTAACATTCACTGAAATAATAAGAACAGGGAGTCATCCCAACTGTCTGCAGGTCAAATGATTAACGGGCCTGGTTTACTTTGTTGTTGCTATTTGATAACATTTGAACATTCTGTATATTTCATTCTGTAATAAATGCAGCAATAAAGAGGTGGAATTATATAAGACTCAGATCTTAAATACAACAATAACTTCATTTCAGTGTGATAACAATACTGCAAAAAATGATAAAATATGAGGTGATAATGACTGGAATAAAGTGTTTTTTTTATCTTAATTTGACACATTTACAAATTAAGATAAAACATTTGACACATTTGACAATTCTCCAATGGGACACATTCATTTAGTCTTATTTCAAGAACTGTTGCTTTATAATTCTAATTTCTGTATATTATTAAAACAAGATAGTTTTGCTTTTGTCCCATTGGAAAATCTTGCTTTGAGGTTCAGTCAGAATGGGCTCAGATTAAGACACGTTTTGAAAAATTTGAGCAATTTGTGACTTATTTTTCATCACTTTTTGCAGTGAATACACTTCTCTCTTTGGTCCCTGTGTACAAAATGTCAACAGAGAATTCTAATGAACTCACGGTCGTCCACAAAGACTAGAGTGAACTGGTTCTTGGCCTTCCCGTCCCGGAGCTGAGCCGTGTAGGAGCCCTGGTCCTCTGGGGTCAGCGGGTCAAACAGAATCTCCACCAGACCTTTGGCCTTGTCCAACGAGATCTTCCGACGCTGAACACAAAAGAAAACAGGTTCTCAGAGAAAGGCTTGGATCAGGATCAGTCTGGGCGGGTCCCGGCTCCAAAAGGAGCAGGTGCGCTAACATGCTGCTATCTCACTCCCCTCTGTGGGGGTGTACCCGGAAAGAGAATTACCCAATGCTTTTGTACAGTGTCTTCTTTACTCTCAAAAAGAAGGTAGGGTAGAGTAGGATGGTCCAAAAGTGGGTCTTGGTCCAAAAGTGGGTCTTGGTCCAAAAGTGGGTCTTGGTCCAAAAGTGGCTCTTGGTCCAAAAGTGGCTCTTGGTCCAAAAGTGGTTCTTGGTCCAAAAGTGGTTCTTGGTCCAAAAGTGGTTCTTGGTCCAAACGTGGCTCTTGGTCCAAAAGTGGTTCTTGGCCCAAAAGTGGCTCTTGGCCCAAAAGTGGTTCTTGGTCCAAAAGTGGTTCTTGGTCTAAAGTTGCTCTTGGTCCAAAAGTGGTTCTTGGTCCAAAAGTGGTTCTTGGTCTAAAGTGGTTCTCGGTCCAAAAGTGGTTCTTGGTCCAAAAGTGGCTGTTGGTCCAAAAGTGGCTCTTGGTCCAAAAGTGGCCCTCGGTCCAAAAGTGGCTCTTGGTCCAAAAGTGGCTCTTGGTCTGAAGTGGCTCTTGGTCCAAAAGTGGTTCTTGGTCCAAAAGTGGTTCTTGGTACATTGGCACATCAGTTTCACCGGCGGATATAGGTGTGACCACGTCTGTGAATATTTACAGTCTGTGCTCAGGACAGAGTCATCTTGTACTTTATCGCACAAAGACGTGATTATCTTCTCAGTTCATGAGGAGCGTGTCTCAGATGTTGAAGTCTTTGATCTATGGCTCTATCGGCGAAATGGCTTTGAAATCATAGACCTCTGATCCTGCGGAGATGGGTCTGTAGATGTACACTCAAAGCTATTTTTACCAATCATACTTTTCTACTGAGGATATTATTTCACGATTAAAACATGTCTCATTATTTATAACCCAAAGTAATCCATATTTTTTCTTCTTTAAACCAAACTGTAATGGAATAAGTTAGTCCTAAATATGAATCTACACTTACTACCTTAAAGTCTAGTATTTAGATTATAGTTTGGCTGCACAGTGGCTGAGTGGTAAGCACTCTCGCTTCTCAGCAAGAAGGTCCTGGGTTCAAATCTGGACAGGGACTTTCTGAGAGGAGTTTGCATGTTCTTCCTGTGTCTGCGTAGGTTTCCTCCAGGTGCTCCGGGTCCCCCTACCACTAAAAACATGTATTTTTTTTTTATTTCTTATTTTTTCCTTTATTTGATTTTCAAGGTAACATACATTCAACAAACAAACAAACAAGAATATGTGTAGAGACACATATTTTAAGGAATACAGCAAATTGTGCGCGTGTGAGGGTGTGTGTGTGTGGCGTGCGTGCGTGTGTGTGTGTGCGGAACAGTACATTGTGCAAGCAACATTATTATTAATTTATGAACTATAAAAGAACAAAAAAAAGAAAAATAATGGACAGACAATAAGCATAACACTGGATGATAAGTTTTAACCTATGGCTAGACTAAAAACATGTATAATAGGTCATATCCTCCAGCTGCGGTTCAAGCCGAGCATCAACATCTGAAGTTGGATCAAATGCAGAGGATAAAGACACTCCCCTCAGCATCGACAGCATCTGGAACGTAGCTTTGGACCAAGAGCCACTTTTGAACCATCCTGTAAAACCGTTTTTGAGATGCCTTACAAAAGCTTTGGATAATTCTCTTTCCGGGAACACCTCCACCGAGCGGACTGAGAATGCAGCCTGTCAGCGCACCTGCTCATGGACCTTTTGGAGCCGGGACCCACCCACTCTAGTTCTGGATGGGGACAGTATATAGATTGATAGTATATCAATATATACTGTGCTGCTCCACCCAGCGGAACACCACCTCTGCTCCTGTGACCTAAAGTGCAGTTATATTTTAATACTGTTGTTGCTACTTTTAGAATTATCGATTTATTTATTTTGTTTGTTTGGATGGATGTGTTTTTGCTGCTACTGGACACTTGCATTTCTCCAACAGGGATCAATAAAGTATCAGCTCATTCTAAGCTGTTGTTCTGTGTGTTAATGCTGCCCCCGTGTGGCAGCTGGATGCATTACTGAATGAAGACGATGTGGTCTGAGCAGACAGTCTACAGGACGTCTTAACCCTTGTTCTATCCTCGGGTCAAGCCAACCCGGATTCAAACCCAGGACCTTCTTGCTGAGAACCGAGACCGTGCTGCCCAAACAAAGGTATCATTCATTTTTGCTTGTTTTTTTCAATAGTATAATATATACTATATATTACTATATAGTATAATATTATACTATATATAATAGACAAAATATGGTCTTTTCACTTGGGTTTCTACTTTGTTTGACTTGTTTTCAGTGTTTGGCCTCAGTCCAGGTCTGAGATGGCAGCTGTGTTCTCTTTCCTCCTGTGGTCGCAGCCTCTCCTCCTGAACTCAGCCTCAGACCTTATGTTCCCTGACGCACCTGCTCTTTTCTTTCTCGCCAAACTCGAGACAGACTTTATTCCTAGTTGTGCATTTGCAGGTTTTCCTTATTGTCCGGTATGAGATAAAGGTCACACGGCCGCAGTCTGGATGAGTTATTGCAGGAGATGGTGGTCAGAGCGACTTGACTTTCACACAGGTCACATTAGTTAATGCCTCACCTGGTCCTGGGGATGTTTACCCAGATTCAAGTACGTTCAATGAAGCTTCTCCTCTGTACCTTTTAAATCTAACACTTGTTAAAGGCCTGTTATCAGTTAAAGAAGTATTGGAAAAGATCAGTTTATTATTATGACAGATTAGGACCCTTTAATGACAACAGATTAGGGCCCTTTAATGACGACAGATTAGGGCTCTTTAATGATAACAGATTAAGGCCCTTTAATGACGACAGATTAGGGCCCTTTAATGATAACAGATTAGGGCCCTTTAATGACGACAGATTAGGGCCCTTTAATGAAGACAGATTAGGGCCCTTTAATGACGACAGAATAGAGCCCTTTAATGATGACAGTGGTGGTTCTCTCTTCCGCCTCCGTCGAGCAAAGACGTGTCTCAGACGCTCCTGCTTCTGACTGCTTGCTATCTCCTGTTTTTGTCTTTTTCCTGGAGTTTTGCCACAGACAACTTTTAGCAAGAATGGAAATGGTAAATTGGTCCCTCAACGCAATTGATTCTATCTTTTCAACACGTAAGCGTGGGTCTGGAGAGCCCGTCTGCCCGGACGGGACTTCACCAGCGGGGTATACTCTTGACAGCTGGAACAAGTGGCAGCCCCTCTGTCTGTCGACCCTGTCCATTGAAGATTCGGAAGACGTATATATCTTTGGCTTTTTGGTGGTGGGGATCCTCCTGTTTGGGTTTGGAGCGGTTCTATTCTACCATAAATTCGGAGGCATGGCAGTTTGCAAGATTCACAACCTGCTGGCCAACAAAATTGATGGGATGTACAAGGAGCTTAACCGTGTCGTGGTTGAGAGCGCTGTGGCTGGACAAAGAAGAGTGGTTTTGGTGGAACAGTTGATCAGAGATCTCGCAGCTCGTTCACTTGATGGGCATAAAACTCTGGAATTGAGATTGAATGACATTGTTTGTCACGCTTGAACTCTCTGACCCGGCTTGGATTGGCCCCTGTGTACGGGGTTTGAGGGCGCCGCAATTCGGTTTAATTGGATTTAATAGAATATCTGCCTGTTTTTGACTGCTAAAATGCATACTAGATTGTCCCTTGTTACAGGAAGACGTGTTTTTCTCCTTGCTGTGTCTTCGCTCCTCTCTTATCTCACATTCCTCGGGCCAAGGCCATCATAATAAATCTGGTCTCTACAACAATTTCACACTCTTTCAGTCTTCCAGCTTGGATCCCGCTCCCCCCGCCTCCCTCTGATCTCTCCCTCCCCTCCACTCCTCACTGTGTTTCCGACTTACCCCCTCCCTGACCCCGCCCCCCTCTGACAGCCACATTCGGCTGCGGAGGTGCTCATCCCGAGAAAAAAAATCAGTGGTTTATACAAAGCACAATGTTTTCTATCCAACTGTCTGTTGTAACCTGTATGTTATTGCTCTCTGCTGTTTATTCTACTGTTTGTCGCATGGCGCCGGAAAAATGGCGCCGTGGCAAGAGCTCTGGTGTGTGTCGTCTCTGTCTGGCGCACACCGGGGTAGTCTTGCACAGTTTTTCCAATGTGGTTTTACTGCAAATGGCAAATAAATGAATCTGAATCTGAATCTGACAGATCAGGGCCCTTTAATGACGACAGATTAGGGCCCTTTAATGATGACCTGATATGAAAATCGTACATATTGCTTTAAGTATTTGAAAGCTTAGTTGAACCTGCCCCTCCTGCTCCATGGTTGGATCCTCACCGGAGAGCTGTGTATTTCCTGGTCGTTGAGTATGAGGCGTAGCTCCGCGGCGTCGCTCAGACTCTCAGTTTGAAGCCACAGTCGGACCCTTCCTTCCTCTGAGACCTCCACCTGCCAGTCTGACCTCAGCCCGATCACTGCCACCGGGAGAGAAGCAGCACATTAGCCTCCGCTCCGGTCGGTCTCCATCAGATTATCCCCCATTTGATAAAACGGGGATAATCCTTTGTGTTGTAAACAAGTGCACTTTACTGCTGCTGTTAGTGACTGTTAGAATTATGTATTTAATTATGATTGTTTGGATGTGTTTCTGCTGCAGGACAACTCTATCTATCTCTGCCTCTGTCTCTCTCTCGCTCTCTCTATGTCTGTGCCTATGTCTCTGTCTCTCTCTCTGTCTCTGTCTCTCTCTATGTCTGTCTCTCTCTATGTCTGTCTCTCTCTATGTCTGCGCCTATGTCTGTCTCTCTCTATGTCTGCGCCTATGTCTCTCTCTATGTCTGTGCCTATGTCTCTCTCTATGTCTCTCTCTATGTCTGTGCCTATGTCTCTCTCTCTGTCTCTCTCTATGTCTGTGCCTATGTCTGTCTCTCTCTGTGTCTGTGCCTATGTCTCTCTCTCTCTGTCTGTGCCTATGTCTCTCTCTCTCTGTGTCTGTGCCTATGTCTGTCTCTCTCTGTGTCTGTGCCTATGTCTCTCTCTATGTCTGTGCCTATGTCTCTCTCTCTCTGTCTCTCTCTATGTCTGTGTCTATGTATCTCTCTCTCTGTCTGTGTCTGTCTCTCTCTCTGTCTCTCTCTATGTCTGTGTCTATGTCTCTCTCTCTCTGTCTGTGTCTATGTATCTCTCTCTCTGTCTGTGCCTATGTCTCTCTCTCTCTGTCTCTCTCTATGTCTGTGCCTATGTCTCTCTCTCTGTCTCTCTCTATGTCTGTGCCTATGTCTCTCTCTCTCTGTCTGTGCCTATGTCTCTCTCTCTCTGTCTCTCTCTCTGTCTGTGCCTATGTCTCTCTCTCTCTGTCTCTCTCTATGTCTGTGCCTATGTCTCTCTCTCTGTCTGTGTCTGTCTCTCTCTCTGTCTGTGCCTATGTCTCTCTCTCTCTGTCTGCCTATGTCTGTCTCTCTCTATGTCTGTGCCTATGTCTCTCTCTCTCTGTCTCTCTCTATGTCTGTGCCTATGTCTCTCTCTCTCTCTCTCTGTCTGTGCCTATGTCTCTCTCTCTCTGTCTCTCTCTATGTCTGTGCCTATGTCTCTCTCTCTCTCTCTGTCTGTGTCTGTCTCTCTCTCTGTCTCTCTCTATGTCTGTGTCTATGTCTCTCTCTCTCGGTCTGTGTCTATGTATCTCTCTCTCTGTCTGTGCCTATGTCTCTCTCTCTGTCTCTCTCTATGTCTGTGTCTATGTCTCTCTCTCTCGGTCTGTGTCTATGTATCTCTCTCTCTGTCTGTGCCTATGTCTCTCTGTCTCTCTCTATGTCTGTGTCTATGTCTCTCTCTCTCTGTCTGTGCCTATGTCTCTCTGTCTCTCTCCCCGTCTGTCTCTCTCTCTCTGTCTGTCTCCCCCTCTCTCTTTGTCTGTCTCTGTCTCTCTCCCCGTCTCTCTCTCTCTCTCGCTGTCTGTCTCTCTCGCTCTCTCTCTCTCGCTGTCTGTCTCTCTATCTTTAAACCCAGTGTCCGTGCAGCTCATTCATTACAGCTGTTTAAATCATAACAGAAATAACAAGTTTTATGAAGTGATGCGTTATCAAGATGTAATTGTAAAGTTGTAGGTACGTACACGGATTCCTCACTTGCCAGCTGAGCTCCTTCAGGCGTTCCAGATCTGGGCAGAAAAAGGCAAAAACAATGAATAATCAAGTGTTCACCAGTCCGTCTCTCGTGTGTTTGTGTAACACTGATAAATCTGAATTTGCTATTTCTACATTTTAGATGAAAGCACTGGAGCATATACACTTTTTAATCTCCCCAGTCTCAGAACGAAGTGCTGCAAAGAATACTCACACAGAAGGTTACCGGAAGTGACCTTTTTATAAGACCAACACACATAAAAACCGCCTTTTTATTTATTTTTATCTCCTGGGAACTTTCTTTTGTGTGGTTTCTCTCTATTTGACGCCATTTTGGAATTTGTAAATAATGTGTGTGTCGTGGATGTATAATAATGTCTGGATAGTGTTACGAGCTTAGAGCTGAAGGACCCATGAGCTCGGGGATGCAGACTAAACCAGACTAAATTCACGTGGGCTACACAGAGATTTTCCCCATAGAACTCAATGTAAACTAAAACAGCTCGACCTCAGCCGACAGAGAACCTGACAGAGAACCAGACAGAGAACCAGACAGAGAACCTGACAGAGAACCAGACAGAGAACCAGACAGAGAACCTGACAGAGAACCTGACAGAGAACCAGACAGAGAACCAGACAGTGGTCACAAAGGTCGGATTCTGTGGGGTTTTTAGTGTTCATTTGTCTCCTGCTCTAGCTCCGCCCTGATCAGCAGCTCTGATTGGTCAGAACACTGCCCTCTGTGCACGTGCATAAGAGCCACACACATTGGCGCAAAGCATCATGGGAGCTCGTCCACTGCGCAGAACCGGGAGGACCAGACAAATGACCAATTATGGAGTTCCGCTGATCTGTCTGTGCCCGAGGGGGGGCGCTACTGAGCACAGGCCTTTGATTTGAATAGGACGCCATCTTGGATCACCAGGGTTTTGTGTATTTGTGTGTGTTTATATTTGATCCAGTTTTTGTTCAATTTAAACAATAAACAGATTAAGTTTTCTGAAACATCAACCGAAAATAATAATGAAACTCATGTCACACAAAAGTCATGTCAAAATACCGTCATAATGTAAAAGTAATCATAAGAAAAGGAAATCCTTTTCTTATTTTTTTTATTCGGCCCCTGACCCCTGTTAGTGTCTAAAGCCTGGTTCACACAACAGGATAATTAGGCCGATTTAAGACCCGATTTACCCCTAACGACAATCTTAAAAACGCTCCGATTTTTGTAAATAATCTGATGGATTTTCCGTGTGTGGTTCAGACTGCGTCGCTCAGAAGGACTTGGGGACTGCTCTGATCTCAATATCGGGGATATCCAAGATGTTGGATTGTTTTGGCCCGATTTCTCCTCCTGTGTGGTGTTGGGGACAGACGAGTGCGTTGCCATGACTGCGGTGTGTAGCCAATCAGAAGACGAGGTAGGCTACGACATTCAACAACCTCTCACCTCCAGATCACGATGAAGTAAGTATAGTCCGAGCTCGCGCTGTCTCCACTTCTTTGACCGTCGCCTTTTCTTTTGATTACGTCTCTTCTCTGCTAAAAACCAACCGGCAACTTCGTCCTCCATGATTGTTTACTCTGAAGTCACGCTTAATCTCGCAAGATTTTGTGAGATTTCCGTCTGACCTGGGAATGCTCGAGGGGAAAATCAGTTTGTGTGTGATGTGTGTGGTTTGTGTGTGATGTGTGTGGTTTGTGTGTGATGTGTGTGGTTTGTGTGTGATGTGTGTGGTTTGTGTGTGGTTTGTGTGTGATGTGTGTGGTTTGTGTGTGATGTGTGTGGTTTGTGTGTGATGTGTGTGGTTTGTGTGTGATGTGTGTGGTTTGTGTGTGATGTGTGTGGTTTGTGCCTGATGTGTGTGGTTTGTGTTTGATGTGTGTGGTTTGTGTGTGATGTGTGTGGTTTGTGTGTGATGTGTGTGGTTTGTGTGTGATGTGTGTGGTTTGTGCCTGATGTGTGTGGTTTGTGTTTGATGTGTGTGGTTTGTGTGTGATGTGTGTGGTTTGTGTGTGATGTGTGTGGTTTGTGTGTGATTTGTGTGTGATGTGTGTGGTTTGTGTGTGATGTGTGTGGTTTGTGTGTAATGTGTGTGGTTTGTGTGTGATGTGTGTGGTTTGTGTGTGATGTGTGTGGTTTGTGTGTGATGTGTGTGGTTTGTGTGTAATGTGTGTGGTTTGTGTGTGATGTGTGTGGTTTGTGTGTGATGTGTGTGGTTTGTGTTTGATGTGTGTGGTTTGTGTGTTATGTGTGTGGTTTATGTGTGGTTTGTGTGGTTTGTGTGTGGTTTGTGTGTGATGTGTGGGTTTGTGTGTGATGTGTGTGGTTTGTGTGTGATGTGTGTGGTTTGTGTGTGATGTGTGTGGTTTGTGTGTGATGTGTGTGTGATGTGTGTGGTTTTGTGTGTGGTTTGTGTTTGATGTGTGTGGTTTGTGTGTGATGTGTGTGGTTTGTGTGTGATGTGTGTGGTTTGTGTGTGATGTTTGTGGTTTGTGTGTGATGTGTGTGGTTTGTGTGTGATGTGTGTGTGATGTGTGTGGTTTGTGTGTGATGTGTGTGGTTTGTGTGTGATGTGTGTGGTTTGTGTGTGATGTGTGTGGTTTGTGTGTGATGTGTGTGGTTTGTGTGTGATGTGTGTGTGATGTGTGTGGTTTGTGTTTGATGTGTGTGGTTTGTGTGTGATGTGTGTGGTTTGTGTGTGATGTGTGTGGTTTGTGTGTGATGTGTGTGGTTTGTGTGTGATGTGTGTGGTTTGTGTGTGATGTGTGTGGTTTGTGTGTGATGTGTGTGGTTTGTGTGTGATTTGTGTGTGATGTGTGTGGTTTGTGTGTGATGTGTGTGGTTTGTGTGTAATGTGTGTGGTTTGTGTGTGATGTGTGTGGTTTGTGTGTGATGTGTGTGGTTTGTGTGTGATGTGTGTGGTTTGTGTGTAATGTGTGTGGTTTGTGTGTGATGTGTGTGTTTTGTGCCTGATGTGTGTGGTTTGTGTTTGATGTGTGTGGTTTGTGTGTGATGTGTGTGGTTTGTGTGTGATGTGTGTGGTTTGTGTGTGATTTGTGTGTGATGTGTGTGGTTTGTGTGTGATGTGTGTGGTTGTGTGTTTGTGTGTTTGTGTGTGGTTTGTGTGTGATGTGTGTGGTTTGTGTGTGATGTGTGTGGTTTGTGTGTGATGTGTGTGGTTTGTATGTGATGTGTGTGGTTTGTGTGTGTTGTGTGTGGTTTGTGTGTAATGTGTGTGGTTTGTGTGTGATGTGTGTGGTTTGTGTGTGATGTGTGTGGTTTTGTGTTTGATGTGTGTGGTTTGTGTGTTATGTGTGTGGTTTGTGTGTGATGTGTGTGGTTTGTGTGTGATGTGTGGTTTGTGTGTGTTGTGTGTGTGTGTGTGTGTGTGTTTGTGTGTGTGTGTGTGTTTGTGTGTGATGTTGTGTGATGTGTGTGGTTTGTGTGTGGTTTGTGTGTGATGTGTGTGGTTTGTGTGTGATGTGTGTGGTTTGTGTGTGATGTTTGTGGTTTGTGTGTGATGTGTGTGTGATGTGTGTGTGATGTGTGTGGTTTGTGTGTGATGTGTGTGGTTTGTGTGTGATGTGTGTGGTTTGTGTGTGATGTGTGTGGTTTGTGTGTGATGTGTGTGGTTTGTGTGTGATGTGTGTGTGATGTGTGTGGTTTGTGTGTGGTTTGTGTGGTTTGTGTGTGGTTTGTGTTTGATGTGTGTGGTTTGTGTGTGATGTGTGTGGTTTGTGTGTGTGATGTGTGTGGTTTGTGTGTGATGTGTGTGGTTTGTGTGTGATGTGTGTGTTTGTGTGTGATGTGTGTGGTTTGTGTGTGATGATGTGTGTGTTTGTGTGTGGTTTGTGTGTGATGTGTGTGTGATGTGTGTGTGTTTTGTGTGTGTGATGTGTGTGGTTTTGTGTGTGATGTGTGTGGTTTGTGTGTGTGATGTGTGTGGTTTGTGTGTGATGTGTGTGGTTTGTGTGTGGTTTGTGTGTGATGTGTGTTGTGGTTTGTGTGTGATGTGTGTGGTTTGTGTGTGATGTGTGTGGTTTGTGTTTGATGTGTGTGGTTGTGTGTGATGTGTTGTGGTTTGTGTGTGATGTGTGTGGTTTGTGTGTGATGTGTGTGGTTTGTGTGTGATGTGTGTGGTTTGTGTGTGATGTGTGTGTGGTGTTTGTGTGTGATGTGTGTGGTTGTGTGTGTGTGTGTGTGGTTTGTGTGTGATGTGTGTGGTTTGTGTGTGATGTGTGTGGTTTGTGTGTGATGTGTGTGGTGTTTGGTGTGTGATGTGTGTGGTTTTTGTGTGTGATGTGTGTGGTGGTTTGATGTGTGTGGTGTGTGTGTGATGTGTGTGGTTTGTGTGTGATGTGTGTGGTTTGTGTGTGATGTGTGTGTGATGTGTGTGGTTTGGTGTGTGATGTGTGTGGTTTGTGTGTGATGTGTGTGGTTTGTGTGTGATGTGTGTGGTTTGTGTGTGATGTGTGTGGTTTGTGTGTGATGTGTGTGGTTTGTGTGTGATGTGTGTGGTTTGTGTGTGATGTGTGTGGTTTGTGTGTGATGTGTGTGGTTTGTGTGTGATGTGTGTGGTTTGTGTGTGATGTGTGTGGTTTGTGTGTGATGTGTGTTGTGGTTTGTGTGTGTTGTGTGTGGTTTGTGTGTGGTTTGTGTGTGGTGTGTGTGTGTGTGTGTGGTTTGTGTGTGATGTGTGTGGTTTGTGTGTGATGTGTGTGTGTGGGTTGTGTGTTTGTGTGTGTGGGTGTTGTGTGGTGTGATGTGTGTGGTGTGTGTGTGTTTGTGTGTGGTTGTTGTGTGTGTGTGTTGTGTGTGGTTTGTGTGTGTGATGTGTGTGGTTTGTGTGTGATGTGTGTGGTTTGTGTGTGATGTGTGTGGTTTGTGTGTGATGTGTGTGGTTTGTGTGTGTTGTGTGTTTGTGTGTGTGTGTGTGGTTTGTGTGATGTGTGTGGTTTGTGTGTGATGTGTGTGGTTTGTGTGTGATGTGTGTGGTTTGTGTGTGATGTGTGTGGTTTGTGTGTGATGTGTGTGGTTTGTGTGATGTGTGTGTGTGTGGTTTGTGTGTGTGATGTGTGTGGTTTGTGTGTGATGTGTGTGGTTTGTGTGTGATGTGTGTGGTTTGTGTGTGATGTGTGTGGTTGTGTGTGTGGTGTGTGGTTTGTGTGTGAGTTGTGTGTGGTTTGTGTGTGATGTGTGTGGTTTGTGTGTGGTGTGTGTGTGTGTTGTGTGTGTGTGTGTGTGATGTGTGTGGTTTGTGTGTGGTTGTTGTGTGGTTTGTTGTGTGATGTGTGTGGTTTGTGTGTGTGGTGTGTGGTTTGTGTGTGATGTGTGTGGTTTGTGTGTGATGTGTGGGTTGTGTGTGTGATGTGTGTGGTTGTGTGTGTGTGTGTGGTTTGTGTGTGTGTTTGTGTGTGTTTGTGTGGTGTGTTGTGTGTGTGTGTGTGTGTGTGTGTGGTTGTGGGTTGTGTGTGGTTTGTTGTGTGTGGTGTGTGTGGTTGTGTGTGATGTGTGTGGTTTGTGTGTGATGTGTGGTTTGTGTGTGATGTGTGTGGTTTGTGTGTGATGTGTGTGGTTTGTGTGTGATGTGTGTGGTGGGTGTGTGTGGGTGGTGTGTGGTGTGTTGTGTGTGTGTGTGTGTGGTGTGTTTGTGTGTGATGTGTGTGGTTTGTGTGTGATGTGTGTGGTTTGTGTGTGGTGTGTGTGGTTTGTGTGGGTTTGTGTGTGTTGATGTGTGTGGTTTGTGTGTGGATGTGTGTGGTTTGTGTGTGATGTGTGGGTTTGTGTGTGATGTGTGTGGTTTGTGTGTGATGTGTGTGGTTTGTGTGTGATGTGTGTGTGGTTTGTGTGTGATGTGATGTGTGGTGTTGTGTGTGTGATGTGTGTGGTTTGTGTGTGATGTGTGTGGTTTGTGTGTGATGTGTGTGGTTTGTGTGTGATGTGTGTGGTTTGTGTGTGATGTGTGTGGTTTGAGTGTGATGTGGTGTGGTTTGTGTGTGATGTGTGTGGTTTGTGTGTGATGTGTGTGGTTTGTGTGTGATGTGTGTGGTTTGTGTGTGTGATGTGTGTGGGTTTGTGTGTGATGTGTGTGGTTTGTGTGTGATGTGTGTGGTTTGTGTGTGATGTGTGTGGTTGTGTGTGATGGGTGGTGGTTTGTGTGTGATGTGTGTGGTTTGTGTGTGTGTGTGTGTGGTTTGTGTGTGATGTGTGTGGTTTGTGTGTGATGTGTGTGGTTTGTGTGTGATGTGTGTGGTTTGTGTGTGATGTGTGTGGTTTGTGTGTGATGTGTGTGGTTTGTGGTGTGTGTGTGTGTGGTTTGTGTGTTTGATGTGTGTGTTTGTGTGTGATGTGTGTGGTTTGTGTGTAATGTGTGTGGTTTGTGTGTGTGATGTGTGGTGGTTTGTGTGTGATGTGTGTGGTTTGTGGTGTGATGTGTGTGGTTTGTGTGTGATGTGTGTGGTTTGTGTGTGATGTGTGTGTCGTTTGTGTGTGTGATGTGTGTGGTTTGTGTGTGTGTGTGTGGTTTGTTGATGTGTGTGGTTTGTGTGTGATGTGTGTGGTTTGTGTGTGATGTGTGTGGTTTGTGTGTGATGTGTGTGGTTTGTGTGTGATGTGTGTGGTTTGTGTGTGATGTGTGTGGTTTGTGTGTGTGTGTGTGTGTGATGTGTGTGGTTTGTGTGTTGATGTGTGTGGTTTGTGTGTGATGTGTGTGGTTTGTGTGTGATGTGTGTGGTTTGTGTGTGATGTGTGTGGTTTGCGTGTGATGTGTGGTTTGTGTGTGATGTGTGTGGTTTGTGTGTGATGTGTGTGGTTTGTGTGTGATGTGTGTGGTTTGTGTGTGATGTGTGTGGTTTGTGTGTGATGTGTGTGGTTTGTGTGTGATGTGTGTGGTTTGTGTGTGATGTGTGTGGTTTGTGTGTGATGTGTGTGGTTTGCGTGATTTTGCCGTGTAGCTGCACCACACACTGTACGACCAAAGTGTTAGACCCTTGATTTTTTATCTCCGTGTGTGAGGTTTCTCAGGTTTGGGAAAATCGGCCGACAATTTTAAAGGCGCTATACCCGTTTCTGCAATGTTTGAGTGTTTAGCACCGCCCCCAACTCGCTCACAGGCTTCTCATTTCCCCTACACTCTCATCCCACGGAGCCACCTAGTTTTATTTGCGATCTGATACGTATGCTAACATTAGCATTAGCGCAACTTCTTGTAAGCAGTGCAACAATCACCGATGAAATGGCACTAAAGCAACGCACTGCTAACACAATATATAAGTAAAAGAATACCGCTAGTTTCGCGTCCGAATGTATTAATTTAAAACCTTAGAATATATTCTAATATTTAATTCTAATTTGTTATAGAGCTCCTCAAAGCAGCAGCAGCAATTCTTCCGATCATTTTTTCTTGATAACAGAACTCTCAAACCAATAATGACCGAAGCCCCAATGCAATCTCTGTTTGTAATTCAGGTGTGTAAAATACTGCCATTACTCTGCAAGTACAACAAGCTATCAGCACCTGTCACTACACACTCGTCTGTGTAGAGAAGCCAACGGAGCTAGCGGAGCTAGCCACGCTCAATAAACAACTACATATCTATCAATCAACACCATTAAACGTCAATCGGACAATACAGTACACATATACATCCTTAACACACATGCACGGACGATTTCAGAATTTGCTGTTAACGTTTTCATGACAAAAATACTGTTTTAAAGTGACAAAAAGCGATTGCGAAAAACCCGGAAGTTACCATGAAACAACTAGCTAGCTTAGCTGTTACCTGCCTAGCACGTCCCAGTGAAACCTTTGGGAGCTAACTATTTTATTTGCAGTCATTAAATACATTTGGAATTACAAGGGTTGTCTAATATTTGTTCACATTTTTTTTATTCAATTATTTTGTTCATCATTTTTTATTTTAGAATTATATTCGAATTTTGAAGTCGAAGCCCTGGTGTTAAGCAGCGCTGTAGAGGCTAGAGGACGCAGGCTGGTCGCTGCTCGTTCTGTGAGCGGAGGAGAAAGAGCGGCCCGCTCAGACTCTACTCAGAACTTTTCACTGCTTGTAATTCTTACACAGCTGAATCAATTACCTCAAGTTTTCAATTAAATGATGTATTATGATACAACTTGTATGTAGTAAAAAGAATTTTTATGAACTACTTAGAAAAAAAATCGGGTATAGCTTCTTTAAAATCCTCTCGTGTGAACCAGGCTCAACAAGAAGGACTGTGTTGATCCAGGACACCCTACAACATTTATGGACATTGGTCAACTCCCTTTAGTCCATCACAAGTGTTCCATTTCTCGAAACTTCCCCACTGTGGGACGAATAAAGGAATTCTTATCTTATTTTCTCTGTGTTTGAACTGTTTGATTCTCTGTTGGTGATATCAACGGTTTAGAAAAGTCCTCTGAGAAACTACTGTTGTGATTCAGGGCGATGAGTTTGACACCTCTAACAAAGAGTATCTTGCATCTAGATAAGTAAATAGATAAGATAGATCAGAAGTCACACACTTTAAATATGAGGACATACTGCAGCCAATAAGCCTCTGGTCTGGACTGGTCTGGTCTGGACTGGTCTGGTCTGGACTCACCTTCTGCAGTGAAATCGTAGCTGGAGGACACGCTGGGCTCGTCACTCACTTCCACAGAGTACAAACCCAGATCTTCCTCCGAGGCGTCCGGGAAGGTCAGGACAGATCTGACGGACAGAGCAGTGAAGCAGACATCATTAAAGACCTTATGACGGGTTTGATTTATTTAGAAATACAGTTTTAATACCATTTTATATTAGAAGAGAACTACTAAAGGTTTCAAAATCAGTTGTTGTTTTTTTTGTCTGATCCCCCCAAATCGAAATAACCCCATAGCAACGCCCTTAGAGACGGAAACACTTCAGAGTGGGTACGTTTCAACGCTGTAAGTTGTTTACAATTTGGTATTCGTTCTTTTTTCGCGGATATTCAAGATGACAAGGCCGTGTACAGCGAGTCTGACATAAATACTACATTATAACATCTCGTCGGCACGGAGATAGTCCAGTGGTTGTGTCGATGGACTGCCAAACCAGATACTTGGGTTCAATTCCCACCTCAGACACTTTTTCACTCTCAAACGGCAATTTATGTGTAGTGAGCAATTGTCACCTGTAGAGGGCAGTATTGTGTTGGGCATCAGTGGAGAGAAGAGAGAAAAAGCAGTCCTGTGGCATAGATCCATGGTTTTCAATGCATGGGCGTTACCCGCTGTGACGTCACACACAGGTTAGAGCATAGACAGCTTAAATTCATGAAAAACACCTTCTTTTTATAAAATATAGGATTTTTTTTGCCAGAATCTCTTTCAAATTGACATTGTCATGCAATTTTGATATCCACAATTTAAAAAAAAAACCCGTCATAAGGTCTTTAAAGAACACCTATACCTCTCTACAACACAAAGTCACACGTCATCAAAGCAGCTGCCGTCTCCCGCGCCTCAAAGCCAGTCGACTTATAATGAAAGTTTCCTCCTTCATTCTCTGAAGAAATGAAACAGTGGGAGTGTGAAATTCAGAGAGAAAAGGCTGAAAATCCCAAAGAGCCAGAGTCATTGATGGCACAATGTTATTTCTCAGAATAAACTCACTTTGGTTCTGGGCCGTCTCTGTGCCTGAGCTTTCAATCGCGCTACAATAAAGGGGCGTTCACACCGGACTTAACTTCGGCGTCAAAAGCGTCAGGTTTCCATTGAAAGTGAATGGTGAAGCGCGTCAGGTGAAGCCGAGAGCCCCGGCGTCACTTGACGCGCGTCAAAAGCTTCAAGAGTCGCGCGTACTACGCGCTCACTTGAAGCTTTTGACGCGCGAAACGCTCTCGTATCAAAACAATCCCTCTGACGCCGAAGCTGAGCAAAGCTGAGCTTTTGAAGCTTTGACGCGGGCTTCAACCAATCAGGAGACGAGGAGCAGCAGCAGCAGAGGGTCTGTCTCTGTCATGAAGAGAAGTCATGTATCTGCTGCTGCTGTTTTATTGTCATTATTGTTATTAGTAATATTATTTGTATGAGTAGTAAAATTCTGAGTAACAAAAATCATTGTACACATGCTGTGTAGTAAACCTAGTTTATTTAAAATAAGAACAGGCTGACGATGAGTCTGGCTCAGAGCAAGGCAGCTCCGGGCGAGCGAGAGCCGGGGAGAGGCAGTGAGAGGCAGGGAGAGGCGAGCGAGAGCCGGGGAGAGCCGGGGGGAGGCAGGGAGAGGCAGAGAGAGGCGGGGAGAGGCGAGCTCCGGGGTTTGAGAACTCAGACTGGGCGAGTGACATGCGGAAGTACCGCTGAAAGCGAAACTCCTCCGTACGCAGCTCCTGGAGTAAATGACGGAACTCTGCAAACACTGCAGCCTCTCAAGTCTGTGGTGAACCCAGAACATGTTTTGTTGAAGCCCTACAACAACGTTATTTTGCTTTATATAACAAATAAAGGCTCGCTGCTCATTGAAAAATCCACCGCTGTCCTGACTACAGGCAACAGAGAAGCTCCTCCCACAGACAACAGAGAAGCTCCTCCCACCGGCGTCAGGCGCGTCACTCGCGTCAAAAGCTTCAAGCACCAAAATGACAAAACTATCCCGGCGTAAGTTGAAGCGCGTCAAAAGCTTTTTGAAGCTTTTGGTCTGAACGCGCCTTGACACCTCTCCTGTTTTAAAGCAGCAGATAAAACACCACATCGTTCTTTTAACAGTTTTTGGTTTCAAACTTATAATTCTACACACACAAAAATCACCTACATAAGTTATAAGTGTTATTAGCATCTGGACGCATCTGGAGTGTCAGCCTTTTCTGGTTATTAAGATTAAGAGATCTTTAATCTATCTGTAAATAGTAAATACTGTAGTCATGTGCAATGCCACTTCATCTACTATTTAGTGTCTTGCCTAAGGACACAACCACAGTTTGGCACTTTACAGCAGCCCCACTATAGCACCTGCTGTTCCCAGAAGTCTCCCATCACAGCACTGACCAAGCCCTGCCCTGCTTAGCTTCAAAGCCCGACAGGATCTAGCTTTCACCTGTAAGTACGGCCATAATTACTGTTAACAACACATTTCAGGATAAACTTTCAAATACGTCTAAATACTTGCGAAGACACGTGGGAAGAATGCATTTGTGAGGTGAGGACAATTTTGTTTTGTTTTGTTTTGTTTTGTTTTGTTTTGTTTTGTTTTGTTTTGTTTTGTTTTGTTTTGTTTTGTTTTGTTTTGTTTTGTTTTGTTTTGTTTTGTTTTGATTTGATTTGATTTGATTTGATTTGATTTGATTTGATTTGATTTGATTTTTTATTTTATTTTATTTTATTTTATTTTATTTTATATTATATTTTATTTTATTTTATTTTATTTTATTTTAATTTAATTTTATTTATTTATTTTTTATTTTTTTATTTTTTTATTTATTTGATCGGGACAACACACATTCATGAACAATCATATACATTATACAAGCTGTACACAAATTGTAAATGTGCCAGATTATAGCAAAACTGCTTATTTACGTCCGCAGTCCCGAGGCCGGTCACACAATAATAAGAATACAAAACACAAAATACAACTGCACACGTTACAGTTAGTTAAAATGAGTGCAGGACTGATTTACTTTCATACGGTGTTTAAACTGTTTTTTAAAAGGTTCCAAGACTGACCTCCTCTGACTGACAGCGCTGTCCATATCTCCTCTAGAGGGCGCTCTGGTGCGGAGACCTGTCCCTGCTTTAAGTTTAAGGTTGTGAGGTTAGCTTTAGCCCGACTGTGGTGTGAGGTTAGCTTTAGCCCGACTGTGTGGTGTGAAGTTAGCTTTAGCCCGACTGTGGTGTGAGGTTAGCTTTAGCCCGACTGTGGTGTGAGGTTAGCTTTAGCCCGACTGTGGTGTGAGGTTAGCTTTAGCCCGACTGTGGTGTGAGGTTAGCTTTAGCCCGAATGTGGTGTGAAGTTAGCTTTAGCCCGACTGTGGTGTAGTTGCTTTAGCCCGACTGTGGTGTGAGGTTAGCTTTAGCCCGACTGTGGTGTGAAGTTAGCTTTAGCCCGACTGTGTAGTGTTAGCTTTAGCCCGACTGTGGTGTGAGGTTAGCTTTAGCCCAAATGTGGTGTGAAGTTAGCTTTAGCCCGACTGTGGTGTGAAGTTAGCTTTAGCCCGACTGTGGTGTGAAGTTAGCTTTAGCCCGACTGTGTAGTGTGAAGTTAGCTTTAGCCCCGACTGTGGTGTGAGGTTAGCTTTAGCCCGACTGTGGTGTGAGGTTAGCTTTAGCCCGACTGTGGTGTGAGGTTAGCTTTAGCCCGACTGTGGTGTGAGGTTAGCTTTAGCCCGACTGTGGTGTGAAGTTAGCTTTAGCCCGACTGTGGTGTGAGGTTAGCTTTAGCCCGACTGTGGTGTGAGGTTAGCTTTAGCCCAAATGTGGTGTGAGGTTAGCTTTAGCCCGACTGTGGTGTGAGGTTAGCTTTAGCCCAAATGTGGTGTGATGTTAGCTTTAGCCCGACTGTGGTGTGAGGTTAGCTTTAGCCCAAATGTGGTGTGAAGTTAGCTTTAGCCCGACTGTGGTGTGAGGTTAGCTTTAGCCCGACTGTGTGGTGTGAGGTTAGCTTTAGCCCGACTGTGGTGTGAGGTTAGCTTTAGCCCGACTGTGGTGTGAGGTTAGCTTTAGCCCGACTGTGGTGTGAGGTTAGCTTTAGCCCGACTGTGGTGTGAGGTTAGCTTTAGCCCGACTGTGGTGTGAAGTTAGCTTTAGCCCGACTGTGTGGTGTGAAGTTAGCTTTAGCCCGACTGTGTGGTGTGAAGTTAGCTTTAGCCCGACTGTGTGGTGTGAAGTTAGCTTTAGCCCGACTGTGTGGTGTGAAGTTAGCTTTAGCCCGACTGTGGTGTGAGGTTAGCTTTAGCCCACTGTGGTGTGAGGTTAGCTTTAGCCCGACTGTGGTGTGAGGTTAGCTTTAGCCCGACTGTGGTGTGAGGTTAGCTTTAGCCCGACTGTGGTGTGAAGTTAGCTTTAGCCCGACTGTGGTGTGAAGTTAGCTTTAGCCCGACTGTGTGGTGTGAGTTAGCTTTAGCCCGGTGGACTTAGCGTGTGTGTGTTAGCTTTAGCCCGACTGTGGTGTGAGGTTAGCTTTAGCCCAAATGTGGTGTGAAGTTAGCTTTAGCCCGACTGTGTGGTGTGAAGTTAGCTTTAGCCCGACTGTGGTGTGAGGTTAGCTTTAGCCCGACTGTGGTGTGAAGTTAGCTTTAGCCCGACTGTGTGGTGTGAAGTTAGCTTTAGCCCGACTGTGGTGTGAAGTTAGCTTTAGCCCGACTGTGGTGTGAAGTTAGCTTTAGCCCGACTGTGGTGTGAAGTTAGCTTTAGCCCGACTGTGGTGTGAGGTTAGCTTTAGCCCAAATGTGGTGTGAGGTTAGCTTTAGCCCGACTGTGGTGTGAGGTTAGCTTTAGCCCGACTGTGGTGTGAGGTTAGCTTTAGCCCCGACTGTGGTGTGAGGTTTAGCTTTAGCCCGACTGTGGTGTGAAGTTAGCTTTAGCCCGACTGTGGTGTGAGGTTAGCTTTAGCCTGACTGTGGTGTGAGGTTAGCTTTAGCCCGACTGTGGTGTGAGGTTAGCTTTAGCCCGACTGTGAGGTTAGCTTTAGTGGTGTGAAGTTAGCTTTAGCCCCGACTGTGTGGTGTGAGGTTAGCTTTAGCCCGACTGTGGTGTGATGTTAGCTTTAGCCCGACTGTGGTGTGAAGTTAGCTTTAGCCCGACTGTGGTGTGAAGTTAGCTTTAGCCCGACTGTGGTGTGAGGTTAGCTTTAGCCCGACTGTGGTGTGAGGTTAGCTTTAGCCCCGACTGTGTGGTGTGAAGTTAGCTTTAGCCCGACTGTGGTGTGAGGTTAGCTTTAGCCCGACTGTGGTGTGAGGTTAGCTTTAGCCCGACTGTGGTGTGAAGTTAGCTTTAGCCCGACTGTGGTGTGAAGTTAGCTTTAGCCCGACTGTGGTGTGAGGTTAGCTTTAGCCCGACTGTGTGGTGTGAGGTTAGCTTTAGCCCCGACTGTGGTGTGAAGTTAGCTTTAGCCCAAATGTGGTGTGAGGTTAGCTTTAGCCCGACTGTGGTGTGAGGTTAGCTTTAGCCCGACTGTGGTGTGAGGTTAGCTTTAGCCCGACTGTGGTGTGAAGTTAGCTTTAGCCCGACTGTGGTGTGAAGTTAGCTTTAGCCCGACTGTGTGGTGTGAAGTTAGCTTTAGCCCGACTGTGTAGTGTTAGCTTTAGCCCGACTGTGGTGTGAAGTTAGCTTTAGCCCGACTGTGGTGTGAGGTTAGCTTTAGCCCGACTGTGTGGTGTGAAGTTAGCTTTAGCCCGACTGTGGTGTGAGGTTAGCTTTAGCCCGACTGTGGTGTGAGGTTAGCTTTAGCCCGACTGTGGTGTGAAGTTAGCTTTAGCCCGACTGTGGTGTGAGGTTAGCTTTAGCCCGACTGTGTGGTGTGAGGTTAGCTTTAGCCCGACTGTGGTGTGAGGTTAGCTTTAGCCCGACTGTGGTGTGAGGTTAGCTTTAGCCCGACTGTGTGGTGTGAGGTTAGCTTTAGCCCGACTGTGTAGTGTTAGCTTTAGCCCGACTGTGGTGTGAGGTTAGCTTTAGCCCGACTGTGGTGTGAGGTTAGCTTTAGCCCGACTGTGGTGTGAAGTTAGCTTTAGCCCGACTGTGGTGTGAGGTTAGCTTTAGCCCGACTGTGGTGTGAAGTTAGCTTTAGCCCGACTGTGGTGTGAGGTTAGCTTTAGCCCGACTGTGGTGTGAGGTTAGCTTTAGCCCGACTGTGGTGTGATGTTAGCTTTAGCCCGACTGTGGTGTGAAGTTAGCTTTAGCCCGACTGTGGTGTGAGGTTAGCTTTAGCCCGACTGTGGTGTGAAGTTAGCTTTAGCCCGACTGTGTAGTGTGAAGTTAGCTTTAGCCCGACTGTGGTGTGAGGTTAGCTTTAGCCCGACTGTGGTGTGAGGTTAGCTTTAGCCCCGACTGTGTAGTGTTAGCTTTAGCCCGACTGTGGTGTGAGGTTAGCTTTAGCCCGACTGTAGTGTGAGGTTAGCTTTAGCCCGACTGTGGTGTGAGGTTAGCTTTAGCCCGACTGTGTAGTGTTAGCTTTAGCCCGACTGTGTCTCACTTGTGGCTGTGGCTTTGTGGCTGCGCTCTGCTCTGGTCGATGGGATTCCTGAAGTCTTTGCTCCACAGTCCTGGGTTTTCTTCATGGATCTCGTCAGCCTCGAGCGTCAGACAGATGAGTCCGTCGTCATCCACCCCGATCTCAATGTCTTTGGAGCCTGCAGCGGTGACGGGGGAAAGGGCAAGTTTATCTGTATAGCACAGTCTACGCTCGGACTATCTGCGCTCGGACTATCTACGCTCGGACTATCTGCGCTCGGACTATCTGCGGTCGGACTATCTACGCTCGGACTATCTGCGCTCGGACTATCTGCGCTCGGACTATCTGCGCTCGGACTATCTGCGCTCGGACTATCTGCGCTCGGACTATCTGCGCTCGGACTATCTGCGCTCGGACTATCTGCGCTCGGACTATCTACGCTCGGACTATCTACGCTCGGACTATCTGCGCTCGGACTATCTACGCTCGGACTATCTACGCTCGGACTATCTGCGCTCGGACTATCTGCGCTCGGACTATCTGCGCTCGGACTATCTGCGCTCGGACTATCTGCGCTCGGACTATCTGCGCTCGGACTATCTGCGCTCGGACTATCTGCGCTCGGACTATCTGCGCTCGGACTATCTGCGCTCGGACTATCTCGCTCGGACTATCTACGCTCGGACTATCTACGCTCGGACTATCTACGCTCGGACTATCTGCGCTCGGACTATCTACGCTCGGACTATCTACGCTCGGACTATCTGCGCTCGGACTATCTACGCTCGGACTATCTAGCGCTCGGACTATCTGCGCTCGGACTATCTGCGCTCGGACTATCATCGCTCGGACCATCTACCGCTCGGACTATCTACGCTCGGACTATCTGCGCTCGGACTATCTGCGCTCGGACTATCTGCGCTCGGACTATCTATCGCTCGGACTATCTGCGCTCGGACTATCTCGCTCGGACTATCTGCGCTCGGACTATCTGCGCTCGGACTATCTGCGCTCGGACTATCTCGCTCGGACTATCTACGCTCGGACTATCTACGCTCGGACTATCTGCGCTCGGACTATCTACGCTCGGACTATCTACGCTGCGCTCGGACTATCTGCGCTCGGACTATCTACGCTCGGACATCTATCTGCGCTCGGACTATCTGCGCTCGGACTATCTGCGCTCGGACTATCTACGCTCGGACATCTGCGCTCGGACTATCTGCGCTCGGACTATCTACGCTCGGACTATCTCGCTCGGACTATCTGCGCTCGGACTACTCGGACTATCTCGCTCGGACTATCTGCGCTCGGACTATCTGCGCTCGGACTATCTGCGCTCGGACTATCTACGCTCGGACATCTGCGCTCGGACTATCTGCGCTCGGACTATCTGCGCTCGGACTATCTGCGCTCGCTCGGACTATCTGCGCTCGGACTATCTGCGCTCGGACTATCTGCGCTCGGACTATCTGCGCTCGGACTATCTGCGCTCGGACTATCTGCGCTCGGACTATCTGCGCTCGGACTATCTGCGCTCGGACTATCTGCGCTCGGACTATCTGCGCTCGGACTATCTACGCTCGGACTATCTACGCTCGGACTATCTGCGCTCGGACTATCTCGCTCGGACTATCTGCGCTCGGACTATCTCGCTCGGACTATCTACGCTCGGACTATCTACGCTCGGACTATCTGCGCTCGGACTATCTACGCTCGACATCTCGCTCGGACTATCTACGCTCGGACTATCTGCGCTCGGACTATCTACGCTCGGACTATCTGCGCTCGGACTATCTGCGCTCGGACTATCTGCGCTCGGACTATCTGCGCTCGGACTATCTACGCTCGGACTATCTGCGCTCGGACTATCTACGCTCGGACTATCTGCGCTCGGACATCTGCGCTATCTGCGCTCGGACTATCTGCGCTCGGACTATCTCGCGCTCGGACTATCTACGCTCGGACTATCTGCGCTCGGACTATCTGCGCTCGGACTATCTGCGCTCGGACTATCTACGCTCGGACTATCTCGCTCGGACTATCTACGCTCGGACTATCTGCGCTCGGACTATCTACCGCTCGGACCATCTGCGCTCGGACCATCTACGCTTGGACTATCTACGCTCGGACTATCTGCGCTCGGACCATCTGCGCTCGGACCATCTGCGCTCGGACTATCTACGCTCGGACTATCTGCGCTCGGACTATCTACGCTCGGACTATCTGCGCTCGGACCATCTGCGCTCGGACCATCTCGCTCGGACTATCTGCGCTCGGACTATCTGCGCTCGGACTATCTACGCTCGGACTATCTGCGCTCGGACTATCTACGCTCGGACTATCTGCGCTCGGACTATCTACGCTCGGACTATCTACGCTCGGACTATCTACGCTCGGACTATCTGCGCTCGGACTATCTACCGCTCGGACCATCTGCGCTCGGACTATCTACGCTCGGACTATCTACGCTCGGACTATCTGCGCTCGGACCATCTGCGCTCGGACCATCTGCGCTCGGACTATCTACGCTCGGACTATCTGCGCTCGGACTATCTACGCTCGGACTATCTACGCTCGGACCATCTGCGCTCGGACTATCTGCGCTCGGACTATCTGCGCTCGGACTATCTGCGCTCGGACTATCTGCGCTCGGACTATCTCGCTCGGACTATCTGCGCTCGGACTATCTGCGCTCGGACTATCTGCGCTCGGACATCTGCTCGGACTATCGCGCTCGGACTATCTGCGCTCGGACTATCTGCGCTCGGACTATCTGCGCTCGGACATCTGCGCTCGGACTATCTGCGCTCGGACTATCTGCGCTCGGACTATCTGCGCTCGGACTATCTGCGCTCGGACTATCTGCGCTCGGACTATCTGCGCTCGGACTATCTCGCTCGGACATCTCGCTCGACTATCGGACTATCTGCGCTCGGACTATCTACGCTCGGACTATCTGCGCTCGGACTATCTACGCTCGGACTATCTGCGCTCGGACTATCTCGCTCGGACATCTGCGCTCGGACTATCTGCGCTCGGACTATCTGCGCTCGGACTATCTGCGCTCGGACTATCTGCGCTCGGACCATCTGCGCTCGGACTATCTGCGCTCGGACTATCTACGCTCGGACTATCTACGCTCGGACTATCTACTGCTCGGACTATCTACGCTCGGACTATCTGCGCTCGGACCATCTCGCTCGGACTATCTGCGCTCGGACTATCTGCGCTCGGACTATCTACGCTCGGACTATCTACGCTCGGACTATCTACGCTCGGACTATCTGCGCTCGGACCATCTACGCTCGGACTATCTGCGCTCGGACTATCTACGCTCGGACTATCTGCGCTCGGACTATCTGCGCTCGGACTATCTGCGCTCGGACTATCTACGCTCGACTATCTACGCTCGGACTATCTACGCTCGGATCTGCGTCTCTACGCTCGGACTATCTCGCTCGGACTATCTACCTGCTCGGACTATCTGCGCTCGGACTATCTGCGCTCGGACTATCTGCGCTCGGACTATCTCGCTCGGACTATCTACGCTCGGACTATCTACGCTCGGACTATCTCGCTCGGACTATCTACGCTCGGACTATCTACGCTCGGACTATCTGCGCTCGGACTATCTACGCTCGGACTATCTACGCTCGGACTATCTACGCTCGGACCATCTGCGCTCGGACTATCTACGCTCGGACTATCTGCGCTCGGACTATCTACGCTCGGACAATCTGCGCTCGGACTATCTGCGCTCGGACTATCTACGCTCGGACTATCTGCGCTCGGACTATCTACGCTCGGACTATCTACTGCTCGGACTATCTACGCTCGGACCATCTGCGCTCGGACTATTTACGCTCGGACTATTTACGCTCGGACTATCTGCGCTCGGACTATCTACGCTCGGACAATCTGCGCTCGGACTATCTACGCTCGGACAATCTGCGCTCGGACTATCTACGCTCGGACTATCTACGCTCGGACTATCTACGCTCGGACTATCTACGCTCGGACTATCTACGCTCGGACTATCTGCGCTCGGACTATCTACGCTCGGACTATCTACGCTCGGACTATCTGCGCTCGGACTATTTACGCTCGGACTATTTACGCTCGGACTATCTGCGCTCGGACTATCTACGCTCGGACAATCTGCGCTCGGACTATCTACGCTCGGACAATCTGCGCTCGGACTATCTACGCTAGGACTATCTACGCTCGGACTATCTACGCTAGGACTATCTACGCTCGGACTATCTACGCTCGGACTATCTGCGCTCGGACTATCTACGCTCGGACTATCTACGCTCGGACTATCTGCGCTCGGACTATCTGCGCTCGGACTATCTGCGCTCGGACTATCTACGCTAGGACTATCTACGCTCGGACTATCTACGCTAGGACTATCTACGCTCGGACTATCTACGCTCGGACTATCTGCGCTCGGACTATCTACGCTCGGACTATCTACGCTCGGACTATCTGCGCTCGGACAATCTGCGCTCGGACTATCTACGCTCGGACTATCTACGCTGGACTATCTACGCTCGGACTATCTGCGCTCGGACTATCTGCGCTCGGACTATCTACGCTCGGACTATCTACGCTCGGACTATCTACGCTCGGACTATCTGCGCTCGGACTATCTGCGCTCGGACTATCTACGCTCGGACTATCTACGCTCGGACTATCTACGCTCGGACTATCTACGCTCGGACTATCTACGCTCGGACTATCTACGCTCGGACTATCTACGCTCGGACTATCTACGCTCGGACTATCTGCGCTCGGACTATCTACGCTCGGACTATCTGCGCTCGGACTATCTACGCTCGGACTATCTGCGCTCGGACTATCTACGCTCGGACTATCTACTGCTCGGACTATCTACGCTCGGACTATCTGCGCTCGGACTATCCACGCTCGGACTATCTACTGCTCGGACTATCTACGCTCGGACCATCTGCGCTCGGACCATCTACGCTCGGACTATGTACGCTCGGACTATCTACGCTCGGACTATCTGCGCTCGACTATCTGCGCTCGGACTATCTACGCTCGGACTATCTACGCTCGGACTATCTGCGCTCGGACTATCTGCGCTCGGACTATCTGCGCTCGGACTATCTGCGCTCGGACTATCTGCGCTCGGACTATCTGCGCTCGGACTATCTGCGCTCGGACTATCTGCGCTCGGACTATCTGCGCTCGGACTATCTGCGCTCGGACTATCTGCGCTCGGACTATCTGCGCTCGGACTATCTACTGCTGGACTATCTGCGCTCGGACTATCTGCGCTCGGACTATCTGCGCTCGGACCATCTGCGCTCGGACTATCTGCGCTCGGACTATCTGCGCTCGGACTATCTGCGGACTATCTGCGCTCGGACTACTTTCTGCGCTCGGACTATCTACTGCTCGGACTATCTGCGCTCGGACTATCTGCGCTCGGACTATCTGCGCTCGGACCATCTACGCTCGGACTATCTGCGCTCGGACTATCTACGCTCGGACTATCTGCGCTCGGACTATCTGCGCTCGGACTATCTCTTCGCGCTCGGACTACTATCTGCGCTCGGACTATCTGCGCTAGGACTATCTACGCTCGGACTATCTGCGCTCGGACTATCTGCGCTCGGACTATCTACGCTCGGACTATCTACGCTCGGACTATCTACGTTCGGACTATCTGCGCTCGGACTATCTGCGCTCGGACTATTTGCGCTCGGACTATCTACGCTCGGACTACTATCTGCGCTCGGACTATCTACGCTAGGACTATCTACGCTCGGACTATCTGCGCTCGGACTATCTGCGCTCGGACTATCTACGCTCGGACTATCTGCGCTTGGACTAACTAGCGCTCGGACTATCTACGCTCGGACTATCTACGCTCGGACTATCTGCGCTCGGACCATCTACACTCGGACTATCTGCGCTCGGACCATCTGCGGACTATCTGCGCTCGGACCATCTGCACTCGGACCATCTGCGGACTATCTGCGCTTGGACTATCTGCGCTCGGACCATCTGCGGACTATCTGCGCTCGGACTATCTGCGCTCGATTTCGACTATCTCGCTCGGACTATCTGCGCTCGGACTATCTGCGCTCGGACTATCTGCGCTCGGACTATCTGCGCTCGGACTATCTACGCTCGGACTATCTACGCTCGGACTATCTGCGCTCGGACTATCTA